GACGTTAAACCCAATTTCATCTCACGTCACCTCACCTCATTAAGTCAAAGATTGGACTCGCCTCACTACGCAGACAATGGTCACGATGAGGATGAACGCCGCTCCGAGTGCAGCATCAGTCACACGCATACTACCATCCCTGAAGCGCCCATCTGTCACCAATAATCAGACGATTAGACACTGTAGAAACGTTCACGCCACTTTTATTTCGCAGATCATTTCTGAGTGTTATGACTCTCACTTAGTGTTGCCTTTATCAACAGGCGCAAAATACTTCGTGTAAGCACGATAGGCTGCAAAGCTTATTATTTAGATAGTATTGAGGACATGCCCTACGGAAGCCTTTTAGGGCCACTGATTTTTTATCTTGAAAATTCAAGAAACTAAGTTGAAAATTCAAGATATTAAATATAAGTTGAAAATTCAAGATATTAAGTTGAAAATTCAAGATATTATCTTGAAGATTGAAGAAACTAAGTTGAAAATTCAAGATATTAACCTTTTCAGCAACACTCAGGTGTAAGCCCGGGCTTTTTTTTAAAATGGTAGCGACGCCACTGATCAAGACGAATCTATCTTTCCGCCGTGTTGTGGAGCACAGTCCACCACCTGCACGTAGCTGCATAGCTGATCCAAACGTCTGGTATTGATTCCATGCTATACTGACTTTGGCTGACATCAAAGACGTTTGCAACGTGACATTGTGTCCATCGTTTCAAGCATACCTATGATAGTTTGTATCTTTCTAATTCTTCGGGCGTCAATATACCTATATGGGGCTGAGGTGGCGTAAGTGCATATGGTTCGGTATTGATGCATTCAAACAGGTTTTCAGGCCCCCCGTGCCCATGAACGTCCAGTCATAAAATTGAGGGGTTACCGAATGATCAAGTTCCAGGATATTTCATTGACATCAACACTTGATCCTAACTGAGAAAACGTCGTGTGGTGTATTTCCAGTATTTCAAAGACCCCCATCCATTCCAGCGTTCTTAGCACTACGTCATTCTTAAACCAATGATAATATAGGTAGTAACGCTATGAACGGTCTTTTGGTTCGGGACCCTGGACCTTTCTGGCAAAAGGGACAGCTGCATGATTGCTAGGTAAATTGTTTATAACGACTGATATCTCCATTCCTGGCGGTCAAACCGAATTAGTACCTTTTCTGGATTGTTTAATGGGGCCGGTAAGTAGGCCACGGCACTTCGCGAGATCTTACGTTGTTCAGTACTTCCGGTGACAAACAACGTTTCATACCTTTTCGAATGGTCTCGTGGTTGTCAGTTGACAGTAAGGAACTGATAATCCTTGCAGAAATAAGATATTTCCGATCTAACCATCCCCAAATTAACCAACTATTACGACTGCCAACAGCTGTGACAGCCAAGCATGGTTGTACACTTGGTCCAGTCTAGTAAAGTCATATTTGGCGGTCGCGCAATTTGGAACCAGGGCCTAGATTTTCGAAGCTCTCTTAGCGCTAAGATAGTTGTAAGTGCCAAGCATTAACATTAACTTACGACTATCTTAGCGTTAAGAGAGCTTCGAAAATCTAGGCCCAGAACTGGTTCTTAAATATACGCTTGTCACCCAAAATCTTGTACCGAAAGTAGCGCCTCGCGAGACTTACGGGCTCTATTGCATAATACATCTGCCAACCAGCAAAATGCATGTCAGTTTCATGTTAGACATGTTCGTACATAACACGTGATCCGGTTTAGAACTGAATTTCTATTCAATTTCAGGACTGGTGGTCATGCTGACGAGTTGGTTGATACAGGTCATCGTTCATGTAAATAACCGGACCGGCAGGTCAACTGTGAGTCTGCTCTCACTGACGAATTTCAGAAAACGTCCATGGTTCTTTCTGGGTTTATATTTATGAATAAAATTCAACGTTGTTGGCGCTTAAATAAGCTTGTATTGGGACACTTGAGGTTTGAGAAAACACTTCCAACGTAAACAGAACTTTAAAACGGAATAGGCATGGTTTTAGCTTATACGTCGCAACAAAGTGTTGAGCACCTCTTATGGTCCTTGGCGATTTCGGACAATAGTGCCGGCTGTATTTAACAAGACAAGTCTTCTGGCGGTAGCTTATCTTTTTACTTAGTTATTATTGTTTAATGGTTAGATGTCACTAACATTTTCCGACGGAATCTTAAAACCAGCTCAAATTATAGCTAAACCTACATTTATGCTATTGTTATAAAAGAAATTCCCAACAACTTTTCCCCTTCATGCCAATGTCTGAAATTGTTGTGATGAGTAAGTATGGACAAATGAATAACTTTCATGCCATTAAGACAATTTGTTTCTCAAGTGTATATTTGCCATTTCATCGATACGATTTTGCAGCAAACGGACTGTACTTTGCATGGTAACTTTTAAAAACACGGTTTTTGACATTTCGGCTCAGAGTCCTTATAACGGACCGCCTATTAAATATCGTCAAAGTCAACTTAAACACAGGATATTGATGTGGCAGCAACAGATTTTGTTCATTTAGGGTAAGTAGAATTCATGTTCACAAATACATGTAACAGATTTCATTTCAGTTTTAGTCATCTTATTATATATTGCTCAGCCTACCTTTATCACTCCGTGAAGATCCGGGTTAGAACTGATTTTCAGTAACCTATGCTTGTCGTAAGAGGCGACTAATGGGATCGGGTGGTCAGGCTCGCCGACTTGGTTGACACATGTCATCGTATCCCAGTTGCGTAGATCGATGTTCATGCTGTTGATCACTGGATTGTGTGGTCTTGATTTCACTGTTCCATCTAATATGCATACCCCCTTGTAATACAAACCAATAATAGCGATTTGAGATCGTTTGTTAAACAACTTTTATCCTAAGTTGAATAAAATTCTGAGATTTGAATGTTCAATTACCAAGGTAAAATTATGAGGATTCGCAATCTTAATTTCGCTTTTATCGATTTACTTTTTTGTTTAGAGTGAAATTCATCGGTACGTTTCCACTGCAAACAGACTATAAGTTACGTTAACCAAGACGATTGCGGCGTAAAACTAAACTCACCTTTATCACTCGGCCAAGCCACTGAGCATGCTTACGTCGTGATTACAGCATGTGCACCGTTTAATAGCCTTCGCCCTACCCCACTCAGCTAAGCTGTTTGCTGGACTACCGTGTTCTGGTCACTCAACATTCATTGTTCAGAAGGAATACATATCTAGTTTATTTTCTGGGATTTTCTTTGGGTATAGCTTTGGATTGCATTCCGAAGTATCTTGTTACTGTATTGGATATTTTATCTAATTAAGCAATAATTCTTGGATATGGCTTTTAGGTTGATCAGTGTGTTAGATACGAACACGTAAAGTAAAGCCAGAAATGCTTGGAAAATGCTTTTTGGCAATTATTTATTATTTATTAAATCTGGTAATCTTATTGGTTTAAAGAACCCAATGAGTACACTACATTCTCAAGACATGGTCAATATCCCCCGCCACTGTTCTATTCCTATTTGGTTACGGTTTCTATTTTAACAAACCGCATTTGGTTTCCCTATCTTTATAGATTACTGAGAAAACTTTTCCCATTGGGTATAACGTTCACCGCGTCAAGAAACGCATGACAAGGGTCATGACCCTAACTCCAAGGCATTCATGTCCTGATAACATATACCAAATATGGTTTCCCTATCTGTAACGGTTTTTGAGAAAATCTGTCCCCATATCTCGGACGGGCCTCAAACCTACATCTCACTTCGTGGCGGTGGACAATAATGTAGATATGTATTAAACTAAAAATAACAGCAATTTTGATAAGTTACAACCATTTTTGATAAATGAATGAACATACGTATGGATTGTAATCATAAATGGTCGAATTAGTGAGTCAGCATTTTTCCAGCTATATGGTGGTGGTCTGTAATTTAAATAATCGAGTGTGGACCAGACAATCCAGTGATCAACAGCATGAACATCGATCAACGCAATCGGGAATTGGGAGAGTGAGAATAAACATGAATAAGGTATTTTGCATTGTTAAATTTTGCTCAGCTAATGTTATAGATTAATGTATTAGTACCGAGCTTTGTATTTTTCTTTATTAACACATCTGTACAGACGAGACAAATGTGATACAGCATCGTCCCCAAGTGTGGAATAAACCCAGGCGCACACACCTAGTAGGTTAAAATGTTTGTATGCAATGTATTGTCCTTGTCTTGAAGGGGCGGTGGGGTAGCCTAGTGGTTAAAGCGTTCGCTCGTCACGCCGAAGACCCGGGTTCGATTCCCCACATGGGTACAATGTGTGAAGCCCATTTCCGGTGTCCCCCGCCGTGATGTTGCTGGAAAATTGCTAAAAAGCGGCGTAAAAATAAACTCACTCGCCTATCCACCCTTTTACTCATGTATATAGCAGCTGAAAGACATTTAGTATATACTAATTATTACACCAACTGTTTTGTATGACATCTGTACGTATTGTATGTACTGTGTTCATGATCTGTATGCTGCTTTATGTCTGTTATATTGAACTCCTGGTTGTTTCAGGGTTGTCTTTCCTCACAGATTCCAACATGCCATGGTCCATTAGGAAAACAGTAGCGTCTGTTGTCTATGACACACGCAGTACTGCTTCACTTATAAAGAAACCGATACGTCTACCCATCACGATTTAAAAGGCAGACCTTCCAAGTTTGTATCAGTTATAAATGATTCCGAAAGTATAGTGGTTGCCCTGTGTCTTTGCGACGATTAAAGATTTAAAATAATAAATTTAGAGACGACCCCCGACTCGAAAAGCTTCACAGTACAATAAATCATGACACTGTACTGTGAAGCATTTCAAGTCGGGGGGTCTTCTCAAAAAAATCTTTAATCCTCGCAAAGGCACGAGGATCTGCCAGTGGTTTCGCTGGAATCCTGAGTGCAGTGTTAAAGGTCAAAGTTAACGCCTGCAATGAACAACCTGCTACCTCGAATGAAGCATCGATGTTTGTATTAACAGAAGAAAAGCAAAAATCATGATTAAATCACAATTTATAACCCTCTGCAAGAAAGGATGGAAGCAGTTCATGAACTTGACTTTTCGATTCGCCTGTCTCGTCTGCTTGCAAGGACCAAGCCCCCTACCAGACCAAGGGTGACGCACGCTTGAACCAGGAGAAGTCCCACCGCCAACACTCCATAGAAACCATCTCGGTCTTCAACGTTCAGTATGCTGGAGTCATCCTGCACCGCCCGGCACACCATTCCCTGACTGGACATGTTGCACGACTCGGGGACGACATCAATGCCCATGTGAGCCAGCTCTTGCATTCTCTGAGCCATGTCACGTCGACTTTCTCCAGCTTCCGGTCCATATATGTTCAGGTGATCAGACGACAGCCTGATTTCCGAAGGGGTTTCTGCAACAGACAGCACTGCCTCAAGGAAAACATGAAATGTAGTACTTATGAACGACTTCGTTTTTAGCAGTTCGGTGGAACACAAATTTGTTTGTCAGATCTGTCTGATTCTCGGCGAGCTGTCCGCACCAACAATTAGGCCAGTCCTACCTTAGTGCATGGCATCATTTACCTTCATGGGCTCTCGTGTCGCGTCGCCGTCTTTCAAACTTGCAGGAATCCTGCAAAGAACCAAGCTATCAAACTAATCGTCAGCATGAAGGTTCAACTAGGAGTGAGCGAGTTAAGTTTCAGCACTATTCCAGCTACATTTGTATATGGCGGAGGTCTGTAAATATCGGATCTGGACCAGACAATCCAGGGATCAACAGCATGAGCATCGATCTACGCACATTGGGATAAGATGACATGTGTCAACCCAGTCAGCAAGCCTGACCACCCTATCCCGTTAGTCGCCTCTTACGACAGGCATGGGTTGCTGAAGATCAATTCTAACCCGGATCTTCACGGGTCTGGTTCAACTAGGAAACTGTTTCAACTGAACCCGTGGGATAAAGTCATGTGACTATAACCCCCCCAGCGCCTAACAGGCAGCTTGGGTTATCCGGGGGTAATAATAACACTGTTTGGGCGCGTCGAACATGCATTGTGCATGGAGCAATGTGCATGATAAATGGACTATTATTAATTTAACATTACATGTTTCATCCTTGTCATGCACTGATCCATGTTCAAGGACACTGTCCAGTCAGATCGTGCACAGAGCACACTCTTGACTGACAGCCTTGATGTATCATATGAACAAATGTGATACCAGATGGTCAGGGAGGAAATGGTCAGATCCCAACATTCCCACTATCCCACGACTGACTGACTGACTGACTTTGGTTTTACGCCGCTTTTAGCAATATTCCAGCAATATCACGGCGGGGGACACCAGAAATGGGCTTTACTCATTGTACCCATGTGGGGATTCGAACCCGGGTCTTCGGCGTGACGAGCCAACGCTGTAACCACTAGACTTTCCCACGAAGTCACAGTATCTAGTTGTTACGAAAGATGACCTTACACCGTCACACTTGTTCTTGCAGGATGTGAAATTGCACTTGAAGGAAATAAAGGGTTCATTCGTCAGCTTAAAAGCACCGAAATATGGACTTCTGACACGAAAACCTTTGGTAATAAAGCCTTGGTTCCTGGGAAACACGATACCATCTCCACACCTGTAACAAATGAGACAGATTATGACAATACACAAGTACCTGCATACAGGTCATTCATTTATCCCAGTTTCTTCAAAACGTACCTGCCCAGCTGTAGTTTGAAATTATCGTAAGAAATGATACAAGCAGTGACCTTTCTCCCATTTAAATCGCTCTGCTGTAGAAAGACTGCATATTTTTTTTCAGTGTCAAATTCAAGATGGCACATGAAGTGGTCACAAGTGACGACATCCGAGTCACCACGAGGTCTTGTCTGTATCAATGTATCGGAACATGGTCATAATACAAACACTAAAACCATGTTTAGAAACAAACGTAGATGAATTTGAAGCACGAGAAAATTGTTCACTTATATTACGTATAAACAGCGCCTCCATTTTTATCTTTGAATATCTATAATTGAACATGTTTTCACAAAATGAGCCAGTCTGTACAGAGTATCGCCATTATTTGTCTTGAGCAGGATATACATGTACGTATGGCTGGGTATTCCTTATTCAAGTACAATCGTGAAGGTAAATTGATACAAGCACAGTACATAAGCACATTGAATTCAAACCTTTAACCACAAAAATCGCATAAAGTATTTGTAAAATCACTGACTGACTGTTTGGTTTTACGCCGCTTTTAGCAATATTCCAGCAACATCACGGCGGGGGACACTAGAAATGGGCTTCACACATTGTTCCCATGTGGGGATTCGAACCCGGGTTTTCGGCGTGACGAGCCAACGCTTTAACCACTAGGCTACCCCACCGCCCCATTTGTAAAATCAAGTTCGCGAGAGACAGCATTTGCTAATTCCTAAATCATCGGAGCAACATCTGCCTGCGTAGTATAATCACCAGGGGCGGATACAGCTGTTTGAGAAAAGTAGGTAGGTAGGGGTAGGTAGAGGTGTGTGTGTGTGTGTGTGTGTGTGTGTGTGTGTGTGTGTGTGTGTGTGTGTGCACGCACACACACACACACACACACACTATTGAGAAAAGGAGGGGTGCACACTTCATTTTCACCCCATTTTCAAAACCCACCCACCCCTCTCTGGATCCGCCTATGATCACGAGAGTGATCCGCAACCATGGTGAACCAATCACGGACCTATAATTACCCGTTTGATACCAGTTATATTTTGTATATCTCAAATGGGTTTTTCATCCAAAGAGAAGTTCGACCCCTAGTTACCGCGAACACACGTGGATTATGCAATGCTAGAACGGTGATACTTCACTTACCCGCCTCGTAAAACGGAGTACGACATCTCCCCTCCCTGGGCGTTACAGCTGACGGCACGGAAACCTTTCTCCTTGTTTGCAGCTGTGGAGTATCAGACGTTGATATTGACAGCAAATAGAATTTGGCCTCACTTGTCAGCCCACTAATATAGGTAAGCTGTTCAAGTATACCTGTAGGCCAGCCAAAAGGTTGAATCACATCTACATGCAGACATCCGTGAAGTCCATAAACCCAGCAGACTGCGGGGGTATAATATCCTGCATTGGATGCACATTCAATCAGTACGTTGTCATAACTCAAAACAGATTGTGCAAGAAATTACCGTCATCGTTAAGGAAGCCGCGAACACACCAATGACACACAGAGAAACATGGGTTCACCCATCTAGAGTTCTGGACTACTGTTTTAACTTCCAATACGTGTAAATATTTGGGAAACTTCAAACTAGAAACTTTTCCGATGTTAAAATGGCAGTTTGAATATGTAGAACAGTTTCTGTAGCGCTCGCTGACATGTATAACGAAGGGAACCATTTACGATCTCCACTAATGACATCGGCCATCAGTTTACAGGTCTGTCTCACTGGAGGACAGATTCCAGATCACATCAGAACAGGTACGGGAGATAACTCCGTTAGGTCATACAACGGGGAATAACTCCCATTAGGGTATTTTATTTTGTCGCCAACTGACGCCAGCCAGTGCTCTCGCTCGGTCATCCTTTTCGAGCGAGGGAGCGAGTTCAGTTTTACGCCGCACTCAGCAAACTTCAAGCTATATGACGGCAGTCTGTAAATAATCGAGTCCGGATCAACATCTACGCAACTGACACGATGACATGTGTCAACCAAGTCAGCGAACCCGACCACCCGATCCCGTTAGTTCATCCTTTTCGAAACAAATACAGTAGAAAACGTAGGTTAATTTCTCTCGTAGTTAATTACGTTTTTCAGAATCCATCTCTAAATCAATAGGACCAAAACTTATTTGTGAGATAAGCCTGAAAGTGTGTTGACAACTTAAATATTCGCTGTCGTATGTCTTTAGGTGGGAATGCACCTTTTCATGAACCTAGAAGTGGATATCACAAAATCGAATTTGTAATATCAATACATTTCGATTGTGATTTTTAAAATAAAGTTAGCGATATCAAACCATCGAATTCGTGATATAATTCATTTTTATGTCACTAATCCGATTGGTAATATCTGAATTACTTAAGATTTGTTTTATCTCAAAATCGATTTATACATGTAGGCTGCTGTGTTGGGCAAATTGCTTTTTCTGAACAGGGAAAATGTACCTGATGTGAAGATGTCATCGGATTCAGTAAAACCATTAAATAACTTCAAAATTTATACGAAATGTTATGCAATTCTATGCATAAAATTTCATAAGTTGGAACTCAAAACTTTATACAGAATATACTATCCGTTTATATAGTCCGTTTGGCGCAAATTAGCGGACCCATGAAAACTCGAAAACTAATATAAAATATACTGTACAACCAGATATTGAGAATTTAAATACTGTAATTTTTTTCACTCATTACTCACGTATTAAATGTGAATATTAGCAGAACGTAACTCTAGATTCAAAGACAGGAGAACAGTTAGTTCACCATGGGCAGCAATGCAGGCTTCAATGCGGCGGGGCATACTACTGGTCAAAGAAGTTAGAAAGTCGTGGTCCATGCTGTCCCAATATCGGACCAGCTCTTCTTTCATTTCAGCAATATTTGTCAGATTTTTCTTATTGACACTTTCCATCATAAGTCCCCAAACATTTTCTATTGGATTTAGGTCAGGGCTATAGCTTGTCCAATCTAATAATGTCATATTTTGGGTCCGAAACCAGGCCTGTGAATGCTTTGAACGATGTTTGGGGTCGTTGTCCTGCTGGAAAATCAAAACAAATCCATAGAATACGTGAGCAGATGGGAGTAAAGGACCCTCGAGAATATCTGTGTACCACTCACTGTTCATATTCCCTTCAAATACACAGAGGGGCGTTGCCCCTCACACATATGCCATGCCACACCACACGTTAAATTTCGGACTGAGCGCTAATACAAAGGTTTTTCAGTTTGTTTGGTCCAGAATTTCAGTGAATTAGGAAACAGCCACACAGAACTTTCATCTGAGAAAATCACATTGTCCCAGTTAAAATTTCTATTCCGAAAGCACCAGTTCAACCTTCGCTCCTTTTGTTCAGGTTTCATGATCGGTGATGGAATTCCTCGACTTTTCTGCCAACCCATTGCATGCAGCTCAGTTCTAACTGTCCTTACAGACAGCCACAGCTCCTCTACCAATCATATCCAGCCTTAAGTTTTCTAAACTCCTTTTGTTTTAGGAACAAGAATACCAAGCCGCCTCCATTCACCGACTGTCAAATTTCTGGGCTTACCTGCGCCTCCCTCGTGCTCAATGCCATATCAATTAGCAATACTTTTCAAAACACGATAAACAGTGGACAAAGAGATGCCTGTTCTACTTGAAAATCACTTCGGCTGATCTGATGTCCTTGTTATAATACTCTAAAATCGACTTCCTCTTCTCTAAATCATCCATACTGAGGATCACTGAAAATGTCGTCTGCTAGCAAGTAAACAAAGGGGGATAACTCTTCGCAAACTAATGAAAAAGGATTAATGGAGTTGTCGCTCTTGAATGAAAACAAGCACTTGATAGCTGGTCAAGGTTGTTTACACTAGAAATTCAATTAAACATATTCCTAAAACTCTCAATTTCTGGGCATACTATAATACTCAATGAAACGCTGATCACAATGAAAACATCAGACCAACTCCGAGTTCTTTGCAGAATTTATGTCCTGAAAATAAGAACAAGTTGTTTAACAAACTATCATTAAAATCTTGACAGTTCACCATTTGTTACGAGGGAGGAGTGCAAAGAGGAACAGCCAGGTGTCCGCGAAAGAATGGAGACGGCACGGCACGGCACAAGTAAATGAATCAATAGCGTTGTCGGCACCTGTGCACGTATACTTCGAGTTCACCTGGCTGTTCCTCTTTGAACTCCTCCCTCGTTACAAATAGTGAACCGAGTCAAAATTGTAATGAATTTGTTCAACTTTTTTATTTTCAGGACTTAATTCTGCAAAAAGCTCAGATGTTTTAGTTATAATCAGCGTTTCACCGAGTATTATGTTTATAAGTTTTGGCACTGCAATTCATCGGTCCGCGTTTGTGCCAAACGGACTATAATGCCTATGTTAGGCATCCTACGATAGTAGAGCACGTTAGAAATACCATGTTTGCAACATCCCCGATTGTACCTTTCATTCTGGCTAACAGCTGGATCTTCCGCCCGATGGCGACATGACTTTTAATTCGTCGGCCATAGATGTCGGCGACTTGCAAGAAGTACTGCGATGTAGATGGAGCACCCATCTGCTGCTGAAGCTCGGTAGGTCCCAACAACCTGCAAACAAACCAGAACCATCTTCAATTGACTGACGAGAGCATATTAATCCTCCAATGAGGCCCACGATAGCCTTTGCTCGGATTGTTTACTGTCTCCATGTGGTCGCCCATGTATACAACCAAAAACAAGACATGATCATCAATATCCCCGCCCCCGTGTTCTGTTCCTATTTGGTCCCTGTTTTTTTTAACTCCACCACGACTTTCATGTCCTGAAAAACAGATTAAATTTGTTTTCCCTTTCTGTAAGGGTTTCTGAGAAAATCTGTCCCCATTGGGGATACCGTGCACTAAGTCAAACGCATGACAAGGACCATAACTAACATTGGAACACGGTTTCCATTTTCGAACTAAATCAAGGCATTCATGTCCTGAATACACATACCAAATTTGTTTTCCCTATCTATAACGGCTTTTGAGAAAATCTGTCCCCATCATCTCGGACGGATGGGCCTTAAACCTATATCCCCTTCCCATTTCGTGGCGGGGGAGAATAGTGAGTGAGTTTAGTTTTACGCTGCACTCAGCAATAGTTTTACGCCACACTCAACAATATTCCGGCTATATGGCAGAGGTATGTAAATAATCGAGTCTGAACAAAACAATCCAGTGATCAACATCATGAGCATCGATCTGCACAATGGGGAACCGATGACATGTTTCAAGGCAGCGAGCATGACCACCCGATCCCGTTAATCGACTCGTACAAGCATGGGTTACTGAAAATCAATATTAACTAAGACAAGTCTAGCGATGTGTAACCGGAAACCCTATGTACAATCTGAAGATTTGGCCCGATGGCCCATGCCAATCCTGTTTTGGCCTGACAGAAGCCTACCCTTCTTTAGTCTCATGCTTGGCAGTTTGGTTGACGGCAGTTGGGTCGAGTGTGCACGTGATCAGATACTGCTCCTTCTTGGTCTGCACTTTCTCCCTGGGCTCGGACCATTTGATGCTGAGCAGCACCATCCGGATGCCAGCGTGTTTGCGGGACTATAAAATATAACACCCTGAAATGAACTGGAAATGGCATGTACATGATTGGGAATTCCCAATTTTATATAACTGAGCGAATTGTTTTTCAAGTAACGGCGATATTCTCGCCAATTCCCCCATGGGGACAACCCTTTGTAGTTGCCACTGTTTGACAAGCAACAGCACGCTAAGGATATTCCAAATCGGATCTGAAGAGTTGTGTAAAGGCCGAGTGCCAGAACTTAATACACAATGGATGGCCAATTTATGCACACACTGGCATTATCGTCAGTCCGCGACATTACTGTTAGTTACATCATATCAAGGCACATCATATTTGTAAATATCAACTTCATTCGTTGTGATATTTTCGATTGTGAATTGTTTTGGTCTAATTGTCAAATGTCAGTGAGTTTTTAGTTTAACGCCGCACTCAGCAATATTCCAGCTATATGACAGCAGTCTGTAAATAATCGAGTCTGGACCAGACAGTCCAGTGTTCAACAGCATGAGCATCGATCTATGCAACTGGAATACGATGATATGTGTGAACCCAAGTCAGCGAGCCTGACCACCCGATCCCGTTAGTCGTCTCTTACAAGCACGGATTACCGAAGACCCATTCTAACCAAGAGTCATTATGGTATTAAATGCGTTGTATGTATATGTCCTTCAAAGCATGTTTTCCATATATTTCTGTTTGTCACTTTGAAATCGTAATAAATCAGTGTCTGTATATATACTCATGGAAATGAAAGTACAAGTGTTCCTTTATTCTTTTCCAGGTTTCTTGACAAGGCATGCATGGCACGGAGTGAAATTATGGATAAATATATATATATACTCTAAGCACAAAGAAACTGCATACAAAAATTTAAAATCTAAATTTATCAAACCTGTGTAGACACAAGGATTTAAACTCAGAGATTAGTGACATGTATCCAACATGCATGCACGTGCCACGTTCCGTGACGTCAATGGGTTCGTCCTTGAGACGTGCAATACGTTGTTTTATTACCCACGTGGTCAACGTATGGGTAGTTGCATACTAATCTCGTACGTCACACGAGTGTCGTATCGCGTTGACCTGTGTCGTAACGACTTGACCTGAGATTCTAACGATTTGATTGGATAACCGATGACCTCTCAATTAGGTCACGTTGTGACGGAACTACTTGTTCATGCATAACACGTGAATTCATTCATTCTACAACTTAGATGCATTGTGGGAATGTAAACATTGCGAACGTTGCCGTGTTACTGTTTAATATTGTGAGTCGAACTGAGACACATATCCGTTGAAAAACATAAACGCAATGTCTCCACCAGTGATGTTAGCCGAATGAAGCAACTGCAAACAAAGAAACGGAGTAGTTTACTGTAGGAGGCTGTACGAGGGGATGACAACTGACATGCATCGTGACTTCGGTTACCATGGCAGTGACGTCATTACAGTGTGACGTCATGCAAATATTGTACTACAGTACAAAACTCTTCCGCAACCTCTTTATGAAACCGGTTTCGGTTTGAAACCAAAATATTAACAAAAATACGTTAATTTGTCAATTTAATGCATGTAAGGCGTGGGTAATAAATAAAATACCACACTCGGTCTCATTACATACGAATTATACGAAACTCGTGACCTTCCTATGATATCTGACCTCGCATTCGCTCGGTCAGATACCATAGGAAGGACACTCGTTTCGTATAATTCGTATGTAATGAGACCGAGTGTAGTATTCTCTATGCACGTGTATTCCAGGAAAGAGAAACAGAGCAAATGAATGCCACACAATACTGTCACTTTGGAAAGCTCAACCCCTGCCCTTGTGATCGTTCAAAATATTAAACGGCTATTGAAACGCATAGCATGCCAAGGCTCACGTCTGCACAACGTCATGAGGCCATTGGGATGGTCCGTTTGGGAATGTCTCAACGACAAGTGGCTGCACATTTCCACTGCCACCGGAACACCATTTCTGCACTGGTGAGACGCTACCAGAACACAAATGACGTCATCGATCGGCCACGTTCTGGACGTCCATGTGTAACAACGCCAAGACAGGACATATGGATAAGGGTGACCCATCTTCGCCACAGGTTTCAGACTGCAGTGATGACTGCCCGAACCATCCCAGGACTTCGCCGTATCCACCCCAACACAGTTCGACAACGTTTACGTCATCACGGGATCAGACCACGACGTCCCGCCATACGGCCTATCCTGACATCGTCATCGACAAGCTCGCCGAATGTGGTGCCGAAATCATGTCCGCAGACCCTTGTTTTGGTGGAGAAATATTTTTACAGATGAGTCCAAGTTTAACATTTCCCATAGTGATGGACGTCCACGTGATTAGACGCGTGGGAGAACGTTATGCACAGGCCTGTGACTTGGAGAGGAATCGCTTTGGTGGTGGTTCCGTGATGATTTGGGGTTGAATAACAGAACTCCTTTGGTGATTGTTCAGGGCAACGTAACTGGTGTGGGCTACAGGGATCAGATTCTTCGACCTGTGGCAATTCCTTTTCTGCAACGTCATGGCCCTGGGTTAACATTCCAACAGGACCCCGCCCGCCCTCATACGGCAAGGGTTGCTATGGATTTCTTGCAACACCACAACGTTGACTTACTGCCTTCGCCCGCAAATTCACCGGATCTCTCCCCGATAGAGCATGTTTGGGACGAGATGGATCGACGTCTACGCCGTCTTACTCATCCGCCAGATAACGTCCTTGACCTTGCAACAGAACTTGAGAGAATCTGGCGTGACATCCCACAAGCCTTCCTTGCACGTTTGATAGGCTCTATGCGTCGTCGATGCACTGCTGTTCTCAATGCCGATGGTGGACATACCCGTTATTGAGTTTGACCCCTGTCCCGCTTATGGACTCGTGACGTCATTGTGATTGACCTTTCAATTGAAATTCTCCCGACTTGTTATGGTCTCATGATCCCTCCATTAAAGTTTATATGTACCTTTGACATTGTTATCGTACTTATCAACTGGGATAATATTTTGACAATGCAGAGTTTCTTTATGTGGCTAGTATATATAGGAACACTTGTAGTTTCATATGTTCCCTTATTTATTTTCACGAGCATATGTATCAGGGAGAGGGTCACCTAGGTTGGACAACTTTTGCCCAATCCCACTGGTGAAGGGTGTCAAATGTTTTAAAACAAACAAACCTTGAACACGCACTTCTTGGTCGGGTCTCCCTCATAGGCCACCTTGAAATTGTAGTTGACGCTATCAGAGGACTGGATGGCCATTGTCTCATCCTTGCACTCCACACTGATAAGCACCTTCAGGTCCGTGACGATGGTCACCTGACTCTCCTCCTTTAAGGTGGCTCCGCAGGTGTGCTTTACTGAACAAACAGCGTTAGCAGTCAATTGTCATAATTACTGGACAAACACCATGTGTAGTCATTACTGGATAGTCACTGAAGGGGGGGGGGGGGCGATTTCCAAATTGAAACATCTACTACGGTTTCTTCTGCTGATGTCATCAAGGTATCGCATACGTTCTACAGCCATTATTTGATTATACATCAACGTTTTCCATCGTGGCATTGATTTCTGTTACACCCCTCCCAAAACAAAGTACTGTAAACGTACTTATTTTCGCGTGGTGCAATTTTCGCGGAATTGACAGTTTAGACTACATCGCGCGGTCAATTATTCGCGCAATCAGTAATTGCCGGAACTGCCAGCTGTCTCTTTGGCCGCCACTAATAGCAGTGAAAACAAACAGAGTGGCTTAACCTGTCAGGCGGCGTTTATTGCTTACTCACAGGAAATCCCTATCTGTGCGATATACTAGTACACAGTAACCCGTTTACTCCCGGAAGAGATCAAAAACACATCAGTCTTATGTTCCGAATTCTGACGATCTGACGAATTAACATATACTGTATATGAAGCTTTTTGTGATTTCAAACAAACCGGGTTGTTGTGAATGAGATGATTGAGTGTTAAGTGACTATTCGCTTCATGATGATACGTTTGTATCTAAATGAATAAATAAAATACTGCTGTATTATTTCTTTCCGAGTCGTTTCATGGTAATCTGTTTTGTATCAAACCATCTGTCATGTGACCACAACACACATTGCTGTTTTCGCAAATTCGGCGATGGGATTTGGCTCATTATTTAATTATGTTTTGGGAAATCCATTACAGCGACAGTTAAGTATGATTGTTTATGCTACTATCAGTCGTCATTTTAAGATTCCCGTAGATTTCTGTCTTCAAACTTGATGTGTTATGGTTTATTCGCGGTGTATAAATTTTCGCGCTAAAATGTTTTGCGCGAAAAGCGCGAAAATAAAACCTGCGCGAAATATACTACGTTTACAGTACATGGTTGTAGCAGTGAGGAAATATTTAGGAGCTGCATTAGGTTTATCCCATCGAGAAGAACAGATGTAAAGCGTCACAGACAAACCTAGGTACAACGGTTCTGCAATTCAAGCTGCTTGAAGTGACATTTCATCACAATAAGTTATTACAGGATATAGATGTTCTACTTACCCTCGAGCACGTAGCCGGGAGGAATTGCAAGCGTCATGTTCTGAAAATATACAAACTACGTCTGCAAAGGGAAATAACTCGGCCAATCTTACTTGGACACTCAAGTGAGGAAATTTTCCAAAAATGAAAACCTGGAATCCTAATTGTCCGTGGGATTTGTTGGGCAAAGGTGAGGTGGGGTGAAATTGGGTTTAACGTCGTGCTTGAGAATATTTCGCTCATATGACAACGTGCATTCGTGTGTATGTGTGGCTGCTTGTACTAGCCCAGACTGAAGCTGGTTTTCTAGTGCTAGCCCACTGAGATACCATGCCGCAGTGAAGCATGAATACCCCAGACACATTATACTGACTCCGAGCCGACCAGTCCTTGATGTACCCATTAATGCCGAGCGCCAGGCAGGGACCAACAAGTACCATATTTTAACGTCTTTTTGGTATGACGCGGTCGGGGATCGAACCCGCGACCTTCCGCTCTCCGATCTAACCACTACACCACGGAGTAGGCCTTCTTTCTTGAGCAAAGACATTTACAGGACATCTTAAATCAGCTAGTCATACATTATTCGCTTTGCACGTACACTGGGTACCAATCATGTCTTGTTGAACATAAAAAAAAGTTGTGTACAAGGTAGAAAAAACAATAAAAAATCCTTTGGCAGCGTTTACAATTCCCGCCTGCCCGCCCGTCCGGAATGGTATATTTTCATCTCTGGACGGTCAAATTTCAAAAGTAGCATGTGGTCTTATAGATATTTTACCCCTACATATTTCATAATAACAGATAGGTTCCCTTGTCAGTCTGAGGTTTTTAAAGGTCACATGCAACGTAAAACACAACTTTGCAGATTCTGATACCTTTCGGTATGGACTTCCGAAACAAATCAAAAATGCAAATTCAACTTATAAAGTTGAAAAATAACTCAATGAAAAAAACGCGCGAAATCCGAGTTCAAACGATTCACTAATTTTCCCCTCTCATAGCACGTGCGCAGTGAAATAGGTTCGCGCAACTTGCAAGCGGGCTGTCCCGTGAATACTCTGTGAAGGCTTTGGTGTGAACTATTTTCCTAATGTTTTGTTGATATCTCACAGGCGCGAGCTTTTTATATGTTATGGCAGTAAATAAACTGTTTATATAATTCATTTGTCTATATCACCACACGTTCTTCTTACCGAGTCACTTTCTCAGTTCGATACTTAAAAGCAATGACATTATTTAGCGTTGACAGAATTTCTAACTGATATAGATGTTGTCACAGACAAAACTCAATGGTGTTGTTTTATTGACACATGTGTGTCTGCCTGCTAATGACAATATTCAATACACAACTGGGATCACTGACCACATGCAATTTGAACTTAACACCAGGCTATACACCATAAACAAAACGCATTGATTTATGGCCCGAGTTCGGTCTCTGTCACATTATGTAATTACACAGACAGGCAGGTGTGATACTTGAACACATGACATGTTATGATGTCTGTTGATTGCAAAATGTTATACACAAAAAATGAACATGTATTTACAAAACCCAACATCTCTATATACACACACACACAATGAGCCGCGAGGGCATCTGCAAATGAACCAGCCGTTACACTTGAGTGCACACCCACCCGCTCTGACTGGGTTCGGTATCCCGGCTACTTCGTTACTTGGGAAGTAAACCCAAGTACACAATATTGCACTTTTGATTGTGATTGTACGCTTATAATTTTGTTTATATGTTTTTTCATAACCAGCAATGTATATTATATGTCATGAATAAGTGATAATTGTGTTTTAATTATGTTTGATTTTTTGGCTGCATGTGACCTTTAAGGTATTATGAAAATTATGCTAAACTACTTACGATTGGACAGTTCATGTCACGATAACCAATCACAACACGTGTAATTTCAGCTTATTATTGAAAACCGGACAGGCAAGTTTTAAGTTTGTATCCGGACTGTTAATTTTTTTAAGTTACCAGTCCGGCTGTCTGGCTTGGAATTTTGGAGTTTTGAACAGTGCCTTTGGAGCTAAGTAAATTTACACACGCTTATGACTAATATTTTAAGGGATGTTTGTAATTTGAACTTACCAACAGCAACAACAGTTGCAGCACTGCTACGACAGCGGGGAACATCAGTCTGATCATTCTAAAACGAGACGACACCAGTCAGACAGGCTGCATTATTTTGAAAGTAGTAAGCTGGTAGAACAAACGTTCACACCTAAAACCGGTAAGAGCTCCTCCCGTAAACCCTGCTTTAAATGTATTCTATTTATTATGATTATTTCAAGGGGTCAGTGTTTAGATTTGGCATTATGTTAGTTTAGGGTTAGCTTTCTATTAAAAAAACCCATCTATTCTTACTAAAAATCTTAGGCACAGAATGATAAAAAGACGGGTGTTACGGGCGGAACTCTTACCCAGGAGAGAGCCTACTATGTACACATTCTGTTTGAGGATTTAAGTTATAGTCAGACAATTTGAGGCTTTCACCATGAACGCAGGTGAGAAAATATTTTGTATCATACAACTTTGTTTCTATGTAGGTTGTGCTTGTAGCGGCCCGTGCTGTGATTCGAACCACGGACCTTCTGATCAGAAGTCGGTCGCCTTGTCCACATGACCAAAGAGGTTAACCCTGTCAGCAAGCATGTCATCTGTGGCACGACTCCACGCCCTTGTACACACTGTAAGAATGTATTCCTACACCGGCACCTTCGAACAGGTCTGACTAGAGACCTTTTTCATGTTGCATTCGTATATTAAATCTTATTAAGTAATAACTTTATAAGAAGTACTTTTTATACTGTATTGGACATTGATTCCAAAACATACATGCTTGTATATCCCAAATAAACGGCACTTCAGCTTAACCTTCTCAGTACAATAAAGACTTGGGTTGCTCGTAGACGAGCTTTCCAATTTGCCATACCTACCTGGCTCCTCGCGTCCGTCCGTGTGCTGTGGTATTAGCCGGAAGAGACACGAAGTAGGATCACACCTTCAGTCGTACAGGTTCCCCGCATGCAGCTCGTGCATCACGAGATGTGACGTTTTCTTGCTGTGAGTGTAGTCTATGGAAGCCTCTCGAGGCTATCACTACACTGACATAGCAGGTTAAGAGGCTCATTGTGATGAGGGGTTGAGTTTGGTTCAGCTTTAAATATGCCTTCTGTTACATCACCACGTTGTCTGTATCATTCCGAAGTCAAATCTACCCGTGAAGATCCGGGTTAGAATCTTCAGTAACCCATGCTTGTCGTAGGAAGTGACTAACGGGATCGGGTGGTCAGGTTCACTGACTGTTTGACTCATGTCCTCGGTTTCCAATTGCGCAGATCGATGCTCATGCTGTCGATCACTGGATTGTCTGGTCCAGACTCGATTATTTACAGACCTCCGCCATATAGCTGGAATATTGCTGAGTGCGGCGTAAAGCTTTACTCACTCACTCACACGTCAAATCCCGATGGCTGTTCTCAGCTTGGTGTTTTAATGACGTCATCGCGCGCCACACTGGCCGCGGTTGTGTGAAGATGTAATGTGTGTGTACAGTTGACACCAGCATTGCGAGCGACGTGGGGTTGAGTGAGTGAGTGAGTTTAAATTTACGCCGCATTTAGCAATATTACAGCAATATCACGGCGGGGGACACCAGAAATGGGCTTCACACATTGTATCCATGTGGGGGATCGATCGCGAGTCTTCATCGTGTCGAGCGAACGCTTTAACCACTAGGCTACCGCCCACTTGGGGTTCAGATATACCACCACCACCACGACCACGACCACGACCCCAACACACACACTGAAGAAAATAAAATGGTCGCTTCTTCACGAAATATGACTGATGAATTGTGTCTGTCGTATCTGATGGTGTATATGATTCATATCAAGAAATTTCACGATTATCTTACACACACACATCATTTTCTGAAATATTCCCCAGCGCATGAGGGCATTTCAGTTTTGGTACCCCTGACTTCTTGTGTGTTGCCGGGCTATCCGACACTCAGCCAATCATACTTCTCGATAACATTTATTAAAGGCACTACCTCTTACAACACTTCTCTAAAAATAAATAATGCATTTCTCTCAATAATACTAACTATCAGACCTAAGGGAAGCTACCATATACTTTATTTAAAAAAACAAAAAACCAAAAAACAAACAGCGTGTTTAGATTTAAATTTTAAAATAATAAGTTCGAATGAATTGATGCAACGTTGCATTAAATCGACTCTCGCGCCGTCTACCGGTCGAGCATTAGTATGTATACGTCTATGTATGGATGAATTTATGTATGACTGTATCTTTGTAGATATCTATGTTTGTACGCATCGATGCTAGTATTTATATATGTACCTATGTATGTATCTAAGTGTGTATATATGTCAACAATCTTTTCATATATTTTAAACGCTTTTTAAATATTGCTAATATTCTTTTTAAGGTGTCATTTCGGCCTCTCGAGGCATGGTGTTTGCATTTTATATGCTGTACTATGCTGTCTCATCATTTATAACACATGACACTATAATAAACTACTACTATTATTATTATTTCAAGCGACCCCCCATAGAGTTATGTCCTTTGTTGGCATCGTTGGTATCACGCTCACTTAGCCAGAGTCTTCATAAACAGGTCTTGTTAAGACAACATTGCACTATGGCTAGGTGAGAGATGCGAGCCAGGTAATTAGCATTAGCCACTGAGCCTTTAAATTTGTTTTAGGGCTATAGATTATATCTATTGAAGATGTATGCAAGTGTGTGTGAGTGTAGTTTAAACAATACTTATTTTTGTACCACTAGTAGTGTTTCCCCTTTATTATTGTCTCTCCCCAAACTAATGCATATTGCAACAGTCCTTCAAAGATTAGATAATGCAGTGTTCAAGTTGCTGCATCCCAGCCTAATACGACCATGTAAAATGTGGTTATTTCTCAATTCATAGTTCTGCACAATTTCGTGTCCACTAGGCTGTCCCACCGCCCAGTGTCACTAGAGAATTGGTCCATACAGCAATAAATATGTGAGTGGAATTTGTAAGTGTAACAGTTAAAATGTTATCTTGTCGTCCACGTGTTAAGTGGTATGGGCACTGTTTATCACTGTTAAAATGAGCATGCTAACATACATAAATAGGCTTGACTTAAGAACTGGTTCCTGAAAAGCAGCAAAAAAACATGACTTTGGAACCGATTGTTGGCTTTGTGAATAGGCTAGGATTCAGAAGTGGTGACTAGCACTCAATGATTAGGCTGGTATTCAGAAGTGAATACTTGCACTCGATATGTATGGTGTCCATGTGTGTGTAATATTACAGCCGAAGAAGCATCATTTGTTTACATTTCCAGCCACCATTTCTCATAATTTTCTTAATACACTACATCTTTTGCTCCAAGCATATTTTTATTTACATTTTCTGTAAAATGTAAAGAAATTCAAATAATACCATACCAATGTGTCTCACTTTAATACAAAATTCCCGAATCTCACTAACTGAGCATGTTGTTGATACAGACTATATGGCTCATCTGGACATGCGTTATCAAAACACTAACCCTGGTCAGCCAGATCCCACTCTGGCTATGTGAGAGACCTGTTTTGACAGAATCTGGCTAAGTGAGAGAACACCATATTCTTTCGAATATCAAACACCGACAACACTGCGTGCGACAGTTTTCGATGTACGGAGCAATTGTTTACATTCCTTATATGGCAAGTGTTCTCTGTTCGGAAGCTGTTCGCCGCGATGTTTCAATTATCGATATCAGGCAGGTCGTAAGGAATAATAAGTCTTTTTTTTGCATCAATCGCTAGCTAAAGTGAGTGTATATGCCCCACTATAGGCCAAAACATTGTCGAAAATATGTGAAATTATGCCTATAAAATGTGTAAAAGTGAAAATGTTAAACTTCAAATTTCTTGCAGGAGACGAAAGACGCTATAAGAAAAGCAGAGTACGAACCCGGACATTAAACCAGAATCTCCCCAAGTGTTAGCTTCACGTGTTGTTAGTCGGGTTGTAGGAACTACACACTGTGTTGTAGGCATTTTGGAAGTTCAAAAGTAACAGCGCAGGCAACATGTTTTTATGGATGACACATAATAGAATATAGAAATCGTCTTCTATAAAAGCAGTTTGCCTTTGCTGTAGGAACTAGAAGACAAAGATTTTGATTGTCGACAACTCATTTGCGTTTATAATACAACAAAGACGCATTTCAAACAGAGTAAAAATACCTGTAGTCATAATATTAATACCACCGTTTCAAGACATGTAGTTTCAGATATATTACCGACAACGACTATGTGAAGAATATAGAACAAGTTTTATGGATAACAACTTCTATATTTCGTGAGTGCGACGTTTCGATACAGATTCTTGTACCATTGTCAAGCAGGAGTGATACATGAAGTGTAGGAGCTGCAGCTATATTGTACGTCTCAACTTCTAAAATGCCACTCAAACAAGTGACTATGTGAAGGACGGGGAGGTAGCCCATTTGATAAAACGTTCGCTCGTCACGCAGAAGACCCGTTTTTGATTCCTCACTTGTTTACAGTTCGTGAAGCCCATTCTTGTGCCCCCCACCCCCACCTCCGTAATATTAATTGAATATTGCTGAAAGCGATGTAAAACCTCACTCACTCACCCACCCACGACCACCCGTTTATTGTCTACCGTATATTGTATAATTGTATTGTATTTCATTGTATTGTTTGCATTGTGTTGAATGGTATTGTATGAAAGGTATCTGTATCTGTATGTATGTGACTATGTAATGTATGATTATAATACATGTATATATTTGTGTGTGTGCGTGTATGTGTGTGTGTAGGTAGGTACGACTGGTACGTGTATGCGTATAATGTGTGTCTGTATGGGTGTGTGTATATGTGTTTGTGTATATGTATATGTATGTATTTAGTATGTACGTGTGTGTAAGTATGTATATATGTTTGTATGTATGCATGCATGTATGTACGTGTGTTGCATGTGTGTGTATGTAGGTAGGTACGTGTACGTGTAGTATGTGTGTTTGTAAGAGTGTGTATATGTGTTTGTGAATATGTATGTATTTTAGTATGTACGTGTATGTATAATATGTGTGTAAGTATGTATATATGTTTGTATGTATGTTTTGATGCATGTATGTTATGTATGTATAGATACAAGTACGTGTTCAGTTAACCTAACATGTATACGTTAGGATATTTATATATACTGTATGCTTATAATGTTTTTAGTTGGATATATCTCATAACCTAACCGGTGGTTTTTGTACTTTTAAACTTCACGAAAATGTTTATATTGTATGTCAATGTACAGCAAGTGAGACTTAAATAAACATTATCTTCCTCTGTCTTAACTGTTTCTAACGATGATTTTACGCAGCCTAACCGTCTCTATTTCGACCTCATTTTCAATGAAGAGTAGCTTCCCTTAGACCGGTGATCGCGTCCCGCACGTGGCCGCGCCACGTCTGTTGTTGTCGGTCTCAAAAGATGTACAATAAATATCTTGTGTATTATGATCAACAAGTCTCTGAATATCAACAAGTCTCTGACACTATCTACCGCATTCTCCATAAACCATACAATTTGATGTTGCTTGTGCTACATTTAAAAATATTTTGCATGCTAAAAGGTGCAATTTTTCTGGACATTCTGGACACTGAAATTACCAAATTTCAGACCCATAAAGCACAATCAGTTGGATTTGTGAATCAAACAATTTGAAATATATTTTCGGGGTTAAAATACCAACATTCTGGGAAACTGACATAACATTAATAAGAGCCTTAAGCTTAACACGTGATTTCAGATCTATAACACTCTATTTAAAGTTCATGGTATGGGAAAGCACTATTCCGAGATAGGTATAGTGATTAACAATAGATAATTGTTTGCCATTCAAAAAGAAACTTCTTCAGAGGAGACAGATCCACCTCTTCTAAAGATAACTATATTTTTTTCAAAATCAATACATATAAGATAATTTCCATTCATCTGTATACCGTTCCAAAAACTTCAGTTGGTTTTGTAGACCGACGATAGTATCTGACACTGAAAACACATCATCGGCAAAAAGGAGGATAAAAGTTTCAATCATATCTGGAAACATTTGCACACCATGTTTACCTAAATTAGAAGCTATCATAATACAGTTCGCTTATAAAGAAGGAAAATAATATAGAGCTTTACATACACCCTTGCCGAACTCCGATGGGACAGTCAAACAAATCGGTGACATCCTCACCACAACGAACACGTTTTAATATTCGAGTACATAGATTTTAAAATATAATACATTTTCCCGTCCACTAGGCATCGTGACACGCCCTTGAAGAGATGTGATGTCAAAAGTCAGTTCACAAATTCAGTATCATGTGTCTGTCCACCATTGGCGTTGATGTGGACGGACATTATCTTGCCGAAAAGTTACGTCTCTGTCCTTGAATGAACGACTGCAGGAGGCCCAAGGATCTCATCCCTGTATGTCGGACCTGTCAGATTGCCGTTGACAATGACAAATTGTGCCCGACCATATAAGATGTTATGCCTCCGTCACTGTTCCACGTTGAACAACGCACTCGTCAGGATACCGTTCACCTCGTCGTCTGTACAAACTTGTCCTGCCACCTGAGCTGACCTGTTGAAATCTCGACTCGTCAGTGAACAAAACACCATCCCAATCTTGTCTCCAGTACCGTTGATGCTGTCAGTACCAGGAAAGACGTGCCTGTCAGCGCAAAATTGGACGTATTGGATGCTGATATTCTGTAAGTCGTGGCATGACGTACGCGCAGTTTAAGTTGAAATTGATGTGTTTTCCACAACATTCAGAGGCAAAAGAGAGTCAACCGTTCTTCAAGAGAGAGAGAGAGAGAGAGAGAGAGAGAGAGAGAGAGAGAGAGAGAGAGAGAGAGAGAGAGAGAGAGAGAGAGAGAGAGAGAGAGAGAGAGAGAGAGAGAGAGAGAGAGAGAGATTGTTGTTTGGTACTGCGTGTTTAGAGTGGACAACGACACTGTGTTCTTGTTGCTGATAGCATCTAGTGTGGATTGATTAACGGTGGTATTTATACTGTTGTTTGGTACTGCGTGTTTAGAGAGGACAACAATGCATAGCGTCGTCAGCTGAGAACCAGTCCACGTTCCCTTGATTAGCGGAATGGCGCATCTCCAGTGCGGCAGTAAAGGCGAGGTAGGCAGAGTGTGCTGGAAATAGCCCTGAAATCAGATCCGACACTGGCTGCTGGGAAGTGGGGTACAGAGGGGCGATCATGTCGGAACAAACTGCGTCTGAGGTAAGTACAATCACTGGAAGTTTGTCCCCATGCATTGATAATACAGGTTTGTGTTGCTGCAGAGGGGGTGGACATGATAGCAGGCTGAGGATGCTAGTTCAACGTGTGTAAGTTGTCTCTTGGTGTATTGTTGCTGTAAATAGTCATTGTAAATATTACAAGGCATCCAGGTGTCGAGATGCTTTGTTCCATCGTCTACGATGTTCACTCCAGTGGTGAAGTTTGTGTTACCTCTATCCCGGACTGCCTGATTCCGTGGATGTAAACACGCCATGTTTACTGTTAGCAAGCTATAGCGATGAAGGTCATCGCACATGTGCGAACTGCTCATTGAAACCCATCTTGATCGGACGTAATAGACTGTCTCACAGTCCCTGAACCACAATATTTTCCCTAATGTCTAGCCCTCCCTGCAATGCCAAATCCCTAAATGAAGCAAGTCTACATTTGCCCAGGTACGACTCCCAACTTACTGGGGCTCCTTTTCAATTTAAATAAGTTTATTTGTTACTATATAAACTTAATATATTCAGGGACTAAGCGTTAGTCCAGGACATCAGTGAGTGATTGAGTGAGTAAGGTTTAACGCCGCTTTTAGCAATATTCCAGCAATATCACGGCGGGGATCCCAGAAATGGGCTTCACACATTGTACCCATGTGGGGAATCGAACCCGGGTGTTCGGTGTGACGAGCGAACGCATTAACCACTAGACTACCCCACCGCCCCCTAGGACATACTCTAGATGGTGCAGCGTGTAATACGAACTACTTGATCTGACAGGGTTGTTATCCATCTGGATCCCAGCTGTGTGCGCTGCGTGGGTATGTGTGCCCGCGCGCGTCGTCTGTCTGTCTGTCTGTCTGTCTGTCTGTGTGTGTATTGAAGTTGCAATATAAGGTCAACAGTGATAGATAGGTAAACCCCCCTGTTTTATATGTAATATACCCCCATCCTTCAGTTATATGGACTGACTGAGTTTGGCTTTACGCCGCTTTTAGCAATATTCCAGCAACATCACGGCAGGGGACACCAGAAATGGGCTTCACACGTTGTACCCATGTGGGGATTCGAACCCGGGTCTTCGGCGTGACGAGCCAACGCTTTAACCACTAGACTACCCCACCGCCCCTTCAGTTATATGGACTGTTTTATCGAGCGTCAATATGTTTGTGTGTTACTATGCTTGTCAATTATTACACGAGTTGTATGGAATCAATGCGATACGGAAACGTACTACTTGCTTTGCCATTCCTGCTTTATAATAAGTTGAAGTGAAGAAATGATACCTCCTGTATATCGAGAACCATATTGCAGATGTTGGTGTTCAAATAGCGCCTACTGTCCTGCCGTTCTACGTCAACGATAACGGGTGCGCGTTTGACGTCACTACTGCTGTAATGTACAAGAAATGAAAATACACCATTTGTTACAAACTGCTATACACACATTTGCTACACTCATTCGTTGCACACATTCGTTACACACATTTGACACACACATTAATGCACTCATTTGTAACACACATTGGTTTCACACATTTGTTACACACACTTGTTGACACACATTTGTTACACACACTTGTTGAACACACATTCGTTACACACACTTGTTGAACACACATTCGTTACACACACTTGTTGAACACACATTCGTTACACATTCGTTACACATTTGTTACACACATTCGTTACAGACTTTTGTTACGTACATTTGTTACACACATTCGTTACACACATTTGTTACACACATTCGTTACACACATTCGTTACTCACATTTGTTACACACATTCGTTACACACATTGGTTACACACATTCGTTACACACATTGGTTACACACATTCGTTACACACATTTGTTACACACATTCGTTACACATTGTTACACACATTTGTTGAACACACATTTGTTGCACTCATTTGTTACACACATTTGTTTCACTCATTTTTTACACACATTTGTTACACACATTTGTTGCACTCAATTTGTTACACACATTTGTTACACACACACACACACACACACACACACACACACACACACACTTGTTACACACATTTGCGACACACTCATGTGCTACACACAGTTAATACAGTGAAGTTGCTCCAAGACGTTAAAGCGCAAAATCAGGAACTGGTTTCTTATTTTTCTCTGAAGTGAAAAAAATGTCTTCAACAAAATTCTTGACTGCAAAATTTTATAGTGTCTTTTTGTGAAATTGACAGTTGAGTAAAACATATTGATTTACACATTTGTAAATAACATCTTATCTTCCGGGTTGTTTCTTGCCCCTGCATTTAGTTCCATTCTAATAACCCGGATGAAAAGGCAAAGGATTGGTGCTGCTTTCCATCAAACGTAGTCACTGATGTATGCATATGTAGTAAGTAGAAGGTATCAGCTGAATAACAGTAACCTTGGTGCGGTGTATATTAACACGATAATCTTGAAACATATATATTAATGCAATGGGATTGAACTACGGGTATTTATGTTTAATAGTGAGTTTTTAGAACATTTTAAAATATTACATTCACTCTACACTGACTTATAACATGAATGATATATTTTACTTTCAGCGTGACAAACCAGACGATGACGATGACCGTGGAGGAGGGGAAGGTGAAGGGCGTGGCGGCGACGGTAAAGGAGAAGGTGAAGGACGTGACGGCGACGGTAAAGGAGAAGGTGAAGGACGTGACGACAGCGGGGCGGAGCGACCATCTGTATTTGACCCCGACTATCTGTTGCGTCTGTTGGCAGACTGTATCAGTTACAAGTCCTCTCTACACGACATTGGTGTCATTCTGAGGTGTGGCAACGTCGTCAACGGCTCCGTCAAGAGAGGTTTGCGTCCACTTCACTACGCAGCCTACTCCGACTACGCCGAATGTGTGAGGTTCCTGCTGGAAAATGGGGCCCAGGTGAACCAGCCCGACGACATCGGGTACACGCCCATACACCTGTGTGCCAGGAAGGGCAGCTTGGAGTCAATGAAGATACTCATCGAACATGGTGCTTGGGTGGATTTCTTTACAGATGACAACAACATTGATGAAAACATGAAGACTCTCGGCTACCACACGATTGAGCCACTGAATCTAGCCATAGAAAACAACCACATCGAGTGCATGCGACTTCTTCTGGAAAAGGGTGCGAGACCAGATCACAAATATTTCATGGGTTATGAAATAAATCTGGTTCCTTTGGAGAATATCGAGTGTCTAGAGTTACTGCTTCAGTTCGGAGCGGACCCTAACGTGTGCAACAGATGCGGAGTGGCGCCATTGATGAAAGCTTGCAGACAACACAACCTGGAGGCCGTAAGACTCTTGTGCAAATATGGGGCAGATATCAACCTAACGTGCTCTCCAAGATTTGAGCAGAAAACAGCTCTACATTTCGCAGTCCAGAAGGGCAATCTAGCTATTACGTCATATCTCCTACGGCATGGGGCTCAACCAGGCCGACCTGCAAACTACAAGTATGCCGCCCTGCACACTGCTGTCACTGCAGATCGCCCCGACATATGCGACATACTTATTAAATGGGACGCTGAGGTGGACGAGGTGACGGACGAGAACACCACACCGTTGATGCTAGCTTGTGCCACTCCACATCTGAAACAGCAGAGGGAGATAGTGGAGGTGTTGCTAAAACACGGGGCCAACCCGAATGCTCATTCCGACGTCCTGACCTACACCTCCCCATGCCTCGCTCCCCTTACCGAGTACCTCCGGTGTATAGCTGATTCTGTGACTATCGAGGTCCCTCGGTTGCTGATCAAATACGGTGCCAACGTCAGTTTCAAGGGATCTTCGTCTGTGACGCGACTGAAAGACCCTTTCGGAATACTTCACTACCTACCCAACAGCCGCGTGGAGAATAGAGAAGAGATCTTCCACTTGCTGATCGAGGCAGGTTCAGTGTTTGACCTGAGCGCTATCCGACTCTCCACGGGACTGACTATCTACCAGCGGACACTTCTGATGGAAGTGGGTGCCCGCCCCCTGCCGGCTCGGCAACTGCTTCGTTTGTTCTTGAGGAAACATCTGGCAGGCAACTTGCCAGAGAAGGTGGCGCTTCTTCCGGTGCCGGATATTATCAAGAAGTACATTTTGTTTGATGCATAAAACATACTATTGTATGTATGTTTGTTAAATAGTGGAGTGAAAAGAATAACCAGAACTCCCGTCTTGTTAACTGTTCAAGGCCATTTGTGTAATAAGTGTTTGCATGCTACACACTGTGTTTAAGTGACCTGTCACCACCGTTATCCACTGGTATATATTGGTTAACCGATTCCACCGTTATCCACTGGTATATAGTGGTTAACTGACACCACCATTATCCACTAGTATATAGTGGTTAACTGACACCACCATTATCCACCGGTATGTACTAGTTAACCGACTAAACCATTATCCACCGGTATATACTAGTTAACCGACTCCACCATTAGCCACTAATTATCTACTGGTGAACCGACACCCCCGTTATCCGCTGGGATATGTTGGTTAACCGACACCTCCATTATCCGCTGGTATATACTGGTTAACCGACACCACCATTATCCGCTTGTATATACTGGTTAACCGACACTTCCATTATCCGCTGGTATATACTGGTTAACCGACACCACCATTATCCACTAATTATCTACTGGTTAACCGACACCTCCGTTGTCCATTAGTATATACTGGTTAACCGACACCACCATTAGCCACTAATTATCTACTGGTTAACCGACACCTCCGTTGTCCATCAGTATATACTGGTTAACCGACACTTCCATTGTCCATGAGTATATACTGGTTAACCTACACCACCATTAGCCACTAATTATCTACTGGTTAACCGACACCTCCATTGTCCATCAGTATATACTGGTTAACCGACTTCACCATTAGCCACTAATTATCTACTGGTTAACCGACACCTCCGTTGTCCATCAGTATATACTGGTTAACCGACACTTCCATTTTCCATCAGTATATACTGGTTAACCGACACCACCATTATCAACTAATTATCTACTGGTTAACCGACACCTTCATTATCCGCTGGTATATACTGGTTAACCGACTTCACCATTAGCCACTAATTATCTACTGGTTAACCGACACCTCCGCGTTGTCCATCAGTATATACTGGTTAACCGACACCTCTGTTGTCCATCAGTATATACTGGTTAACCGACACCTTCATTAGCCACTGGTATATCCTGGTTAACCGACTCCACCGTGCTCCACTAGCATATACTGGTTAACCGTTTCCATCGTTACCCAAATGGAGCTGACTGTGATATGATATTATGCTGTATAGTGTGAGACATGCTGGCTTGAATGTCAGTAAGTATCGTTTAAGAGGTGTAAATAATCGATATGCCATAAGTTATTTCTGCATGCACATGTCCATTGAACGACGAGGACATTTTCAAATGGAATGAATTATTTTTGAAAAGGTTATCCAAGTGTTATAAGGACTCCTCCATTTGTATGAACCCACAACAAAGTAATTACTTTGAAGCCTAAAACGTCATCAATATGGATAGTCATTTGTATATGAGAACGGAGAAAACATGTTGTGTTTGGAGGTATGAGTCGATGGCAATTGGGGGTTCTATCAGAAACAATTTACTGTTACCAAAGATGTGAACAGCATGCGAAAAATATGCTTCAAACTATCTTTATGTTGAATAAAACGACAGGTAATGTCCTTCCGAAAAGTATATTATTTGCATTCTTTTTTCTATTATGTCTGTCGATATATAATATTGTGCAACATTTGAACTTGTCATGAATGTGTTGACACGAGTACACAGTGGCATTTAGAAAGTGGTCACATGGAACTTATGTTACATTTAGGATTTCACTTTCTCAGTAAATTCTTGCATCTTCTTACTTCACCCGGCCTACAGCTGGTTGGGGTGTACATGGGAACCATTGTACATTTGTATAGGTGCAGTCAAATCGATTGAGGTCTTCAGTAAGGGTCGTGGCCTCCCCAGGCGTCTTTCACAGCCACACAACGTCTCCTCGTGGATCTTAGAACGTTGGTAAACACCCCCCCACCCCCCCCAGCAAGACGTTGCCGTTGCTCAACAAGGTGACGTTGAAGATCTTACAACGTCTGTGGTTGATTGGCTGCGTGTTAACGTTTCAGTGTCACGTGTCATAGTGGTAGACTCCGGCACTGTAAAGACTTGACACGGTCCAACGACAAGATGACTGGTTTTCCCCTGTGTAGAGGACGCAGGAGGTCTCCCGTCCGCCCTGTCTCCACGTAATGTGAAGGCCAGGGATTTGGTGGCAGTCATTCAATATTCAGCCCAAAATATCACGTGTTCATGCGTTGCTCCTTAATGTATCCAGTGACATATATTGGGAGGCCAGATGTCGCTATAGACCGTAAAGAAAGAGAGACAAAAATGTGATTACCATTGGCGAATGATGAATGATGACAAATAAACCAATAAACACAATCACTCTCTGACACAATTTGTGATCTGCGGTTGTAGTCTTCTTCAAGCGACCTGGTTATTTAAGAGCAACCCTTCTGTAGCCCGTAATGTTTCAAATCACAAAAAATTCATTGAGTACGGATAAGACTCTTTCGGTACATGTCATCCAACTGATTTGGTAGGCCAAGAGTAGGTTCCCCGTTTCTATCATTGATGAACGAGACCGCCAAAACACCTTTGGTCCGAATCTTTATGGTAGGGATTGTCCAGTTCCGCCATGACTGGTCCATATGTAGCATTAGCCGGATATGCTAGACTGACTGACTGACTGAGTTAAGTTTTACGCCGCTTATATTCCAATATTCCAGCAATATTACGGCGGGGGACACCAGAAATGGGTTACACACATTATGCCCATGTGGGGAATCGAACCCGGGTCTTCGGCGTGACGAGCCAACGCTGTAACCACTAGGCTACCCCACCGCCCCGGATATGCTATAAAAAGATACTGTTTGACAGACTGTTGCTGTGTTGTCAGTGTGTGGATTATCGTGTTCCTTTTCTACACATATTTTGTAGGTATGCACGCTGAAAGTGCAGCAAAGTTTCACTTCGGTCTCAAGTTCCACTGATCTGGACCCTGTTACACCTGCACTACTCAGCAAAATGGTTTGGCGGCGTTTGTGTGATTGACTCTCGAACATTTTGTAACAATTTTCAAGTGTTGTAAACTACGTGTCCAAATTTCAGTTTGGCAAAGTTTCTTTTGTTTGTCAGTTTACATCAAATGGTTATCATCAACAATCTTCATAAAATGAAATTATGTTCCCCCACTTTGCGATTACAAACATGTCAAGTTGACCAGTTTTCTGTCAATTTGAAAAACAACAACACACTTTTGCTAAACATTTTGCTGTAAAACATGGTGTTTTATCACATTAAATACTTCCTGGTACTGCTGTTTTCAATATTCTGTTATAAAAATAACATGCACCAAATTCCCCATTTAGAAATCCGGTCTTCAAGGAAATGGGCCACTGTAAAATATTGCTTCTGATCACGTGACATCTCGTGGAGATGAGAGTTCACGTGATTCATCATATGACACTCAAAATGGCGACGTGTAGCTCTGCACTCTGTTGTTTGAATACGATATTTTTTTTCATTGCCGCTGTCGTTTTGGTAAGTGTAGATTAAGATGCTACATTGAATGAACACATGTGTTTGTATGCAGATATATAATTATTGCCAGATGACAATCAAAAGCTGACCATGTTTTAGATATGATTTCGTGTCTTTTGGGAAACGAAAGAACGTGTGTCGTGTGTTCTATGAGTATGAACTAGTACGACAACGAGTTTTGCTTCTATGTTATTAGAATGTAGGGACCCATTAAAATCTCGACCTAACAAACCTGGGGACATAAACAAAATGACTTTTGTGATTAATTTGGAACATTTTTAAATCATTATATTATATACACACACTTTTCATATGTAGGCCTTTAGAATGCTTTTGTGTAATATTTACATACAACTGTGTCAGTAGTTCATATGAATAAACTCGTATTCAAGCCAAGGTTTACATCGAGTTGTCGAGCACACCTTGGTATAGTGCAAAGTCGTTTAGTTATATGCTGGACTACTACTGGACTATTCTTTACATATATGGTCTCTGTTTACACTGAGAAAAGCAATACGCAAATGAAGACATAGGCGCCTGACTCTGATATATTTATAAGTATGACCTATATATATATAAGATATATATATAAGACCTATATATATAAGATATATATAGGTCATACTTATAAATATATCAGTCAGGTGCCTATGAATGAAGCTTATTGTCAGTGATAGAATGGTACAGATCAAAATTTGTTCAAATTTTGGTGACATTAACATTTCGTCAGCGGTATTTAACACGGAGTGATGCAATTGGGGTTTAGAAACTTTTGAAAGATTTTTTTTAAAAAATCTTTCTATGCCTAAGAATATAGGCCTATGGTTTTTTTAATAAAAAGTCTAAACGTAACCCTAAACCCTTAACTTAAACCCTAACACCTCCAAATAATCCTAATAAATAGAATACATTTCAAGTGGGGATACGGGTGGAACTCTTACCGAAACTTTGTGTGTATGTTGAGGAATGAATGCCCTAAAAAAAATAACTTCTGAATGTAATTATTTGAAACATTCAGTACCTCAGCTGTACACAGATAGAAATTTCATGATCTTTCAGTGCTAGCAATTGTTTGCTTCAGTTGAGGAATTCCATATCGATTTTCAACTAACATCCCCTAAGCATGCCCAGTTTAGTATATCTTGACATGTTCGGGAGAAGATTGGTCTTCAGAGTATTACCAAACAACAGCCCAGACACCTGTATTAACTTTCTGTGTTGCTGTTTCTTGGGAAAGAAATTAGCAACGAAATACTAGCTGACTCTTGTGTAAATTTCAGTGTTTGTTTGGAGCACTTTAAGAATGAATTACAGAAATTGGTAAGTGTGAGCTTGTTGGAGCAGAATGGTGACTCCTACAAGTTATGATGATCTGTGTGTTCCCATGCTGTGGGTATGGGACATTCTCTGATGTGGTCCAGGTTAGGTCATGAACCTGCTGGCTGCCTTGATAAACAACCAAACACAAACACAATAAACAACCAAACACAAGTATACACAATGGCCTCAAAACCTGTGTACACTTATGTCAGATGTATTGATCCATGTGTAAATTAAGTATATGCTGTTTTAGAATATTTTATAAAGGTAAGAAATACCAATGCTCCAGAAAAACTTGTATATGTTTTGTGGTTGTTGTGGAGAGGGAGTACAGGACACTGTTTGCCTGCAGGTGACACAGCCAGTCCACTGTGTGAAGGAAGCTAGCAATGTGGAGAGAGTGCACATCATATTCATGAACCACCTTGGTAAGTAAAAGTGGTGGTCCGATTAATTGTAATAATCGAAGATTGGTCGCAGTGCCTAAATGACCAAGCAATCGATCATTTTTTTTTAGATATTTTTTTTTTCCATATTTCTTGTGCAGGCAAACATGTATAGATAAGTTTCTTAATAATACAATGGTATATGTATACATGTATGAAAATGTACAGTTGGCTGAAAAAGTATAATTGGCTGGATTATCTTCCAAGTAATAGATGTAATGTTGACCAATATTGAAAAAACAATTGTTCAGTTCCCGCAGATAAGTAAACATATCTTGACATATCATAGTGACGGACAATTTCATGTTTTAAATATTGTTTGAAACCATTTATGCTGCATCTGTAGATAAAATGTTTGACAACTGAAATGATTTCATTAATCAGATTATTGTTTTTTCCTTTCATTCCCAATATGACGATTTTATTTGTAAGTTCCAGTTGTAACGGTACCGAGTTCAACCACGATTCTATTTCTTTCCATAATTTAAAAACAAATTCACATTCCCATAACATATGGTTGATAGTTTCTCTTTCTTGTTCACAAAATGGACATATTGGTGAGGATGTGTATCCCATTTTATAAAGTAGTTGTTTTGTTGGGAGGATATTGTGGATAATTCTATATTGCAACCATTTCAAGTCTATGCTTGAACATTTATTCACAATAATGTTAAAAAATTTCCAGTCGATTTCAGTAAAATCACTCTTTAGAACTCTTTCCCATTATGAAAAACTTGGCAACCAAACAAATTTTGAGTTCAAGAGGGAGGCGTATAGTTTTTTACTCCCAATTATGGTGTCAATTTTTGAGATATTAAAAGGATAGATTGGTTCGCTTAATTTGTTTTTAAATTGCTTTATATTCAGTGTTCGAGCATATGTTATAATTGCTTTTTTCACCGATTCATACGTTAAGAAATTGGGTTTTATTGAAAACGTTTTGGAAAATTCTTTATATGTGAGCAGTCTGCCTTCTTCATGTATTAAATCGTTCACAAAAACGACACCTTTTTTGTACCACTCGATCATGTTTTCTTATAATCGAACACAAACAATTTTGGAACACTTGTTTGCATTAACAATATTTTTCACAAGATTGGTCTTGGTTGTTACATTACACTAGACGCTCGTTCCATGTCATGACACCCGTGAAGATCCGGGTTAGACTTGATCTTCAGTAACCCATGCTTCTCATAAGAGGCGACTAATGGGATCGAGTGGTCAGGCTCGCTGACTTGATTGACACATGTCATTGTACCCCAATTGTGTAGATCATTGCTCATGCTGTTGGTCACTGGATTGTCTGGTCCAGACTCAATTATTTACAGACCGCTGCCATATAGCTGTAATATTGCTGAATGTGGCCTAAAGCTAAACTCATTCACTCATAAGATTTTAAAGGAACTTTAATGAACAGAAGATCTAGTGTTTCAAGGTGATTGTGCCAGTACATCTGTTCCATTTAAGATATCTGTACTTTTCAGATGTAGGTTACAATGGTATTTCCCCGACAGTTGGTTTCATCAACAATGTACTGAACACGTACTTCCAGCTGTACTTCCCCCGAGAGGTACAGTTGGCCCAACAACTGAGGCATGAAGGGTATGAAGAAACCTTCATCTACACCACCCATCCCTGGCTGGTCAGCCTGTATCTGGACTGTCCGAACCTGACACTCAACAATATCACACTGGCGGTAAGTTTAGCTGACACGCAGTCAAATTTCAGATTGTTAGGAATAGATTGTGATGTCGAGTTAAATGATATGATAGACCTCAACTACAAAGACAAATTTGAAAAAATCTATAAAGTAATGAATCTTTGGTCCTTGAGATATATGACGCCAATGGGTAGAAATACTATCTTGAAATCTTTGCTATTACCAAAACTAATCCATTTTCATCAATTCCTAGCCCAAAAGGCTTATCACTGAAAATTTAAAATGTATTTCTGTCGCCAATGTATGCTTACCTGATAGGATTGTATATATGCTGATGCAGATTATGTACGTAACCATATGATGCCAAATGTTACAAACCCATTTTGGAAAGATATATTATTGGCATGGTGCCATTACCTCAAGAAATGTTAATCAGAGGTGAAAGAAAACTCAGATATTCTCTGCCAATCTCTATGGTTCAAAAATAATATACAAACAGAGGGAAAATTTGTTTATTACGAATATATGGCAGAAAGGGGAATACTCTTTGGTAATGATATCTTAGATCTTAATGGGAACTTTTTACAAAAAGCTGATATGGAAAAAAGATATGGAATACCTAAGGTAAACTTTTTACATCTTGAAGGTATAAATGTGCGGTGTTGGCTTACTGCAGAACTAAACATGTAAGTGATAAAGGAAAGACCTGTTCTGAGTTTCAAAGCCCAATATTACCATTTAACATATCCTGTATTTGTGGAAAAAACCAAAGGAGTAAAACCTTCTATAATACTCTTTTGCCACAATGTCAAGCCAGCCCTACTGGCAAATTTAAATGGGAGGATACTCTGAAACAACGTTACAACAAAGAAGAGTGGACTAATATTTATATAATGTCAAACAGATGCACAGAGAGCGTACAGCTAAGGTGGTTTCATTTTAGGATTACTCATAATATTTTAATGAAGAAATACAAATTACATTTAATGAAATATACTGATTCTCCTGTGTGCTCTTTCTGTGAATCCTGAAACAATAACACATCTATTATGTGAATGTTCATATGCTGTGAGCGAATGGAAGGAAGTATCCAGTTGGCTTGACATGTAATCTGAAGGGAATATCAAGTTCTCTCATGAAAATATTATATTTGGCTTGAAAGGCAAAAACAATAATCCACTTAATGTGGTCTTTCTTTTTGTTAAGTATACACTATATAAAATGAGTTTAAAAAATGTGAAGCCTAACTTTCAATGTTTTCAACGGGAAATACTAAATTATTATAAAGCCACAAAATATACATGTGTTGCCTTTCAAATGCAAGGCCAACACAATTTTATACTTTTTGGTCCTCCTTTCATACACTCTTCTCAAATATCATGGACCCCTGGTGTATCTTTATAAACAATCAAATATATATATGTATGTACATGTATGGTATGACCAGAAATTATTGAGAATTTTAGGATATTGTATATAGAGGCCCCAGTAGTAAGGATGTTGTATATAGAGGTCCGAGTGGTAAGGATGTTTTATATAGAGGTCCCAGTGGTAAGGATGTTGTATATAGAGGCCCCAGTGGTAAGGATGTTGTATATAGAGGTCCCAGTGGTAAGGATGTTGTATATAGAGTCCCCAGTGGTAAGGATGTTGTATATAGAGGTCCCAGTGGTAAGGATGTTGTATATAGAGGCCCCAGTGGTAAGGATGTTGTATATAGAGGTCCCAGTGGTAAGGATGTTGTATATAGAGGTCCCAGTGGTAAGGATGTTGTATATAGAGGTCCCAGTGGTAAGGATGTTGTATATAGAGGTCCCAGTGGTAAGGATGTTGTATATAGAGGCCCCAGTGGTAAGGATGTTGTATATAGAGGTCCCAGTGGTAAGGATGTTGTATATAGAGGTAAGGATGTTGTATATAGAGGTCCCAGTGGTAAGGATGTTGTATATAGAGGTCCCAGTGGTAAGGATGTTGTATATAGAGGTCCCAGTGGTAAGGATGTTGTATATAGAGGTAAGGATGGTGTATATAGAGGTCCCAGTGGTAAGGATGTTGTATATAATGGTCCCAGTGGTAAGGATGTTGTATATAGAGGTCCCAGTGGTAAGGATGTTGTATGTAGAGGTAAGGATGTTGTATATAGAGGTCCCAGTGGTAAGGATGTTGTATATAGAGGTAAGGATGTTGTATATAGAGGTAAGGATGTTGTATATAGAGGTCCCCGTGGTAAGGATGTTGTATATAGAGGTCCTAGTCATTGTAAGGATGTTGTATATAGTGATATGTACTGTCTTCCTAGTGCCCCAGTGATAAGGATGTGGCTGCCTTCAGAGAAGCAGTCCTGCGTGGAGACATTACATGGCATGCTGGACCTATGAACATGCAGCCGGAGAACATGAACCAAGCCTTGTTTGAGTTGAGTCTGAACATCAGCCTGGATGTGGATGCAGAGTTCGGCATAAAGAGGAAGTTTGCCACACTGAGTCAGAGGGATGTTCCAGGTACGTGGCTCAGGACGGACACATGGTAGGTGGAGATAACACCTTGAAACACTACACAGGACAAAGTGGAGACTAGTTGTCTTGATGAAGCATGCTTGCTTTCTGTGCAGGCATGACAGCTGCTGTGCTCCCCAGTCTGACCAAGTTCAACATCATGGCTGTGTCAGTGGGTGTCAACCCTGGTACAAGTCCTCCTGCAGTCCCCAACCCTTTCATTTGGAAGTTCCTTGACTCTCAGGTCATTGGGATGTGGAACAAAGGTGAGATGTGCAGGTATTGAAGATATGTATTTGAGAAAGCTCAATATAAAGGTGAGGTGAGGTGAAATTGGGTTTAACGTCGTGCTTGAGAATATTTCGCTCATATGACGACGTGCATGCGTGTGTATGTGTATGTGCGGCTGCTTGTACTAGCCCAGACTGAAGCTGGTTTTATAGTGCTAGCTCACTGAGGTACCATGCCGCAGTGAAGCATGAATATCCCACTCAGACACATTATACTGACTCCGAGCCGACCAGTCCTTGTTGTACCCATTAATGCCGAGTGCCAGGCAGGGACCAACAAGTACCATATTTTAACGTCTTTTGGTATGACGCGGCCGGGGATTGAACCCGCGACCTTCCGCTCTCCGGGCGGACGCTCTAACCACTACACCACGGAGGCGGTTCTCAATATAAAGGGTGAAGTGTCGGTTATAGTTCAATGTATTGGGTGAACTGTTGGAGATAGTTCTGTGTATGGGTCAGTATATGGTAATTTGAACAAATCTGGGTTCTTTTATTCAAATGTAATTTTATTTTCCTTTTGACATAGTTGATAAACCAACCATATGACCTTGATGAGTGGATGAACCAGGGCCTGGTCCTTTTATTGAATAAAAACTTTTATCGCCCTTCCCAGATGTGTTGTTACAGCTTTTGGGTGGGTGCATTTGTTTATTCTTGCAATATCAGTTTTTGTGATATTTTACCATTTGGACTTTGACAACTGCTTTTTGACCATAGTTTTTCAACCAATCGGATCACAGCACTTAGTTACTCCCATTCATTCTGCAGTGTTTATATTGAAGGGATATCCCTGGTTATATCACCTTCTGTTTCTTCACCTGCTAGGTGGGTACCCCTTAAACCCAGGACCCAACCCGGCCAACCCTCAAGGGATGTCAAAAGAAAACTGTGTCATTGTGGATGGGTTCACAGATGTCCTCTGTTTTGCCTTTAGATCCGACAACAGTGGGCCACCACAAAGCGTCAATGTAGGTGAATATCCAGTTAGCACTAGGCTATGCAGGCTATTAAAAAGGTATCCCAGACCTGTTTATGCTGGACAGAGGATATTTCTGAATGTGCTTACAGCCCAAACAGATTGCTCCTGGTAGAGAGATGTTTATTGTTAATAATAATAATTATTGGGATACAGTAAAATACCTTTATATTAACTCCAAGGGACCACTGAAATTAGTTCGTTATATCCGTAGTTTGCTATTCACTTTTTTATTTGATAATATAAGGTTTATTCGGGACTTTTAAAACAGTTCGCTTTAGCCGTCAGTTCATTATATCTGTGTTCGTTATAAAAGTATTCTACTGTATTTATAAAGCGCGCCAGCGTCCACCCACGAATGCATGCTCATGGCGCTGAGAACCGATGTACAAGGAAAATGAAGAGTCACTGGAAGGCTTTAGTGAAGAAAAGGGTCTTAAGATTTTTCTTGAAAGAATCAGTTGTTTCAGAAAGTTTTATGTGGAGTGGCAAAGAGTTCCATAGGAGTGGAGCAACATGTTGAAAACCTTTCTTTCCGTAGGAAGAGAGGCGAGCTGGGGGAACTGTTAAATCAACACTGTAAGCAAACAAGGCCTGATACAAGAGTTGAAAAGGAGATATATATATTGCCAACATAATTTGCTTGAAACAAATATTTCGTTGTTTTCCCAATAATTGTTGTAATGATGACAGGTCCAGATTTTCCAGATGCAAACGGTATGACAGCACTGTTCCATCTAGGAAAGTGTGAAATATCAATCACTCTGCTCCCCCCAGAAACTCTCTCTACATTTCTTTTTGCCTCGAAAGGTATTCCCATACATACATACTTTTATTGTGAAATGTATCCTGTTTCTAGGAGATTCTTAGCAATTATGAAGTCGTCCGTGGAGAATTCCCTGGTGCCAAACTGATGGCGTCAACATTTGACAACTTTGTGGAAGCACTTCAGCCAATCAAAAGCCAGCTCCCGGTGGTGGAAATGGAGGTTGGTGATACCTGGATACAGGGCATCTCCTCAGACCCTGTCAAGATGGCCAGATACTGGGCCTTTGCCAACAAGCTGCAGGACTGTGTGAGGAACGGTTAGTATATATGAATAGTGTCTGGGACAGATCATGGTTAGGGACCGTTCATAATTTATAGCTGGTGGGATGATGATGATTTTAAGAGGGGGTCACCAATTTTGTCCGGGGAGCTAGGGGGTGTCAGCAATTTTGTACACACGCACTAGGGTGTGGGTGGGGGGGGGGTTTCAGCAATTTTGTACATAAAAATATGTTAAAAATTATGTTTAGAACAGAGACCATATCTGTATATGGTCTCTGGCTTAGAATTATGAGATGGGGAAGGGGGTCATTGATTTTGTACATATGGATGGGGGGGTCACTTATTTTGTACATAAATTTTAGGGAGGGGTAATTCATATGAATTATGAACGGTCTCTTATAAGTAGTTATCTAACCTCACACATAAATGTCGTTTTCTTATTGGCTGAGCCAATCAATGTACCCTTCTTACAAGTGAGTAGGGCTGTGCAATATTACCGGTATACTGGTATTTACCGGTTTCTGCCGGTATATACCGGTACAGTGTCTCGCGATACGATTATTCGATATGGTTCAGATTCTGCAATATATTGGGTCATCCAGAGTTAGCTCCCTTTGAATTATCTCCCCTTGATTTCCATGTAAAACTATGTGCTCTGAAAGTGCCAAATATGTTTTATTACTATTGGTTTCACGTAACATTTTACAAGTGGAAATGACATTATAAGTGACTCCAAAAGTGCCATATATTCTACCAAATGCTTTACGTTTTGTGGGTTTGAATGGTTTTATTTTGAGGAATTAAGTGGCCTCAAATGGACCATTTGTTTATTTGGACTTATTAGTAGAGCCTCTGGCTCTGAGTGACCATTTCACAATTCGCAGTATTTGGTTATTTTTGTTTGTTTCATAATGGGACATATGATATCAATTTAGCATACAGGTTCTTTGTCTCATAAATTTTGTAGAACTTTATAATGACATTCTAGTCAAGAATCTTAGTTATTTGATTTTAAGCTCAAGTAGTTAAACTAAATCATGTTTTTATTTCATTTTGCAATAGTTCATGTTAACACATGTTTATATTGTGAGTTGAATCTGAATGAATCACTGACATACAGTAAAAATAATTACTTACTGCATTGAAGTGTATTTATTCTGTTGAAGCAAACAAACACTGATCATGAAAATCATGTTATACTATTGTTTTTATCATTATGTTCGCAAAACTTTGTTGCAATACTTCAGTTAAACATTCCACGTTAAGGCTCTATGTTAATTTATTTATCTGTAAACGATTGTCACACAGCCATACACAATGTGGACGGTGAGCCTGAAAGTAAAATAAATGATGTAACAGCGACTAAGAAGATGATGTCGCACACAGAGAGCTATTATGAATTTATGATGTACGCACTTGGGCAGAAACCTTCCAGTCAATATATCACGATATGTACTGCAATATCTCTTAAATTATTGCAATATATCGCAATATGAAAATCAGGGCAATATCCAGCCCTACATGTGAGTTACTTTTTCTATGTTACCTGCTGGAAATGCCGAACTGTGGCAATTCGTTTGGTACCTCATGTTAGTAGTGTTTGGGCTGTTGCCTGACTCGGTACTCCATATTATGATCCAGTAACCGTGCTTCAAACAGTTCAGAATTAACATTGAGGTGTTCGGTAAGATAAATATGTTCTTCACTGGTCCCTCGTGGCCCATGGGTTGATGTACCCTCTATGTTTGTCTATGTTCCCTTCATGCTTTGGGTATAGTGCACTCACCATCTAAAATGGACCACCTATGTATCTCACTTGTCTGTACCCATCCGAAATCTACAGTTGTGAACACTTTGTATTCATTTTCATACCTTGGGTTGACTTATGATTAGTGACGTCTGATACCAGGTCAATGCTCCGGAGATGATCCGCGGATCAAGGCTGCTGTCCGGTACCTGATCAAACCCCCAGAGCACACATGGGGCCTGCCATCCGTTGGAGACAACGTCAACTGGACAAACATTGCCTTCAGTCAAGCAAGAAGTGGTCAGTTTTGTATTAAAACATGATATTATTATCCCTCATCACCACCTGTACTACAATGTTATTATCCCCCCATCACCACCTCTACTACAATGTTATTATCCCTCATCACCGCTTCTACTACAATGTTATTATCCCCCCATCACCACCTCTACTACAATGTTATTATCCCTCATCACCACCTGTACTACAATGTTATTATCCCTCATCACCACCTGTACTACAATGTTATTATCCCCCATCACCACCTGTACTACAATGTTATTATCCCTCATCACCACCTGTACTACAATGTTATTATCCCTCATCACCACCTGTACTACAATGTTATTATCTCTCATCACCACCTGTACTACAATGTTATTATCCCTGATCACCACCTCTACTACAATGTTATTATCCCTCATCACCACCTGTACTACAATGTTATTATCCCCTATAACCACCTCTACTACAATGTTATTATCCCTCATCACCACCTGTACTACAATGTTATTATCCCCCCATCACCACCTCTACTACCATGTTTTTATTCCTCATCACCACCCCTACTACAGTGTTATTATCCCTCATCACCACCTCTACTACAATGTTATTATGCCCCATCACCACCTTTGCTACAATGTTATTATCCCTGATCACGACCTCTACTACAATGTTTTTATTCCTCATCACCACCTCTACTACAATGTTATTATCCCTCATCACCACCTCTACTACAATGTTATTATCCCTCATCACCACCTCTACTACAATGTTATTATCCCTCATCACCACCTCTACTACAATGTTATTATTCCTCATCACCACCTCTACTACAATGTTATTATCCCTCATCACCACCTCTACTACAATGTTATTATCCCTCATCACCACCTCTACTACACAATGTTATTATCCCCCATCACCACCTCTACTACAATGTTATTATCCCTCATCACCACCTGTACTACAATGTTATTATCCCCTATAACCACCTCTACTACAATGGTATTATCCCTGATCACCACCTCTACTACAATGTTATTATCCCTCATCACCACCTGTACTACAATGTTATTATCCCTCATCACCACCTCTACTACAATGTTATTATCCCTCATCACCACCTGTACTACAATGTTATTATCCCCCATCACCACCTCTACTACAATGTTATTATCCCTCATCACCACCTCTACTACAATGTTATTATCCCTCATCACCACCTCTACTACAATGTTATTATCCCTCATCACCACCTCTACTACAATGTTATTATCCCTCATCACCACCTCTACTACAATGTTATTATCCCTCATCACCACCTCTACTACAATGTTATTATCCCTCATCACCACCTCTACTACAATGTTATTATCCCTCATCACCACCTCTACTACAATGTTATTATCCCTCATCACCACCTCTACTACAATGTTGTTATCCCTCATCACCACCTGTACTACAATGTTATTATCCCTCATCACCACCTCTACTACAATGTTATTATTATCACCACCCTACTCAATGTTATTACCACCTCTACTACAATGTTATTATCCCTCATCACCACCTGTACTACAATGTTATTATCCCTCATCACCACCTCTACTACAATGTTATTATCCCTCATCACCACCTCTACTACAATGTTATTATCCCTCATCACCACCTCTACTACAATGTTGTTATCCCTCATCACCACCTGTACTACAATGTTATTATCCCTCATCACCACCTCTACTACAATGTTATTATCCCTCATCACCACCTCTACTACAATGTTATTATCCCTCATCACCACCTGTACTACAATGTTATTATCCTTCCTATCACCACACCTCTACTACAATGTTATTATCCTCATCATCACCTCTCTACTACAATGTTATTATCCCCCATCACCACCTGTACTACAATGTTATTATCCCTCATCACCACCTCTACTACAATGTTATTATCCCTCATCACCACCTCTACTACAATGTTATTATCCCTCATCACCGCTTCTACTACAATGTTGTTATCCCTCATCACCACCTCTACTACAATGTTATTATCCCTCATCACCACCTCTACTACAATGTTATTATCCCTCATCACCACCTCTACTACAATGTTATTATCCCTCATCACCACCTCTACTACAATGTTATTATCCCCCCATCACCACCTCACCTACTACAATGTTATTATCCCTCATCACCACCTCTACTACAATGTTATTATCCCTCATCACCACCTCTACTACAATGTTATTATCCCTCATCACCACCTCTACTACAATGTTATTATCCCTCATCACCACCTCTACTACAATGTTATTATCCCTCATCACCACCTCTACTACAATGTTGTTATCCCCATCACCACCTCTACTACAATGTTATTATCCCTCATCACCACCTCTACTACAATGTTATTATCCCTCATCACCACCTCTACTACAATGTTATTATCCCTCATCACCACCTCTACTACAATGTTATTATCCCCCATCACCACTTCTACTACAATGGTATTATCCCTCATCACCACCTCTACTACAATGTCATTATCCCTCATCACCACCTCTACTACAATGTTATTATCCCCCATCACCACCTCTACTACAATGTTATTATCCCCCATCACCACCTCTACTACAATGTTATTATCCCCCATCACCACTTCTACTACAATGGTATTATCCCTCATCACCACCTCTACTACAATGTTATTATCCCTGATCACCACCTCTACTACAATGTTATTATCCCCCATCACCACTTCTACTACAATGGTATTATCTCTCATCACCACCTCTACTACAATGTTATTATCCCTGATCACCACCTCTACTACAATGTTTTTATTCCTCATCACCACCTCTGCTACAATGTTATTATCCCTCATCACCACCTCTACTACAATGTTATTATCCCTCATCACCACCTCTACTACAATGGTATTATCCCTCATTACCACCTCTGCTACAATGTTATTATCCCTCATCACCACCTCTACTACAATGTTATTATCTCTCATCACCACCTCTACTACAATGTTGTTATCCCTGATCACCACCTCTACTACAATGTTTTTATTCCTCATCACCACCTCTACTACAATGTTGTTATCCCTCATCACCACCTCTACTACAATGTTTTTATTCCTCATCACCATCTCTACTACAATGTTATTATCCCTCATCACCACCTCTACTACAATGTTATTATCCCTCATCACTACCTGTACTACAATGTTATTATCCCTCATCACCAACTCTGCTATAGTGTTATTATGGCTCCTCAATCTGCAGGAAAAAGCTACAGGAACTGTGAGAATGCATGGCTGGAACAGCGACAGTTCATTGACTTTGCGTTCTCCAGCCTCCAGGACCACCCACTGGCTCTGGAGGTGAAGCGGGAATGGGAGGAACAGACCCCTTCTAGACCAGATCACACAGGTGGGTGGACTGTATAAGAAGACCGGGACAATTTTGGTGACCTCAGTAAAAGTGAATCTTTACTTGGTATTGACATCTCTCTGTCAAGATTTGGTGACAACCGTCTACAGGAGGTCATAACCTAAATGATCAATCCTACAAACATGTGAAGACTTCTACTTCCTAGATACAAACGCAGCAAACATAAAAACAATTCCTGAATTTTGTTCCTTGAAAACACATTAAGATCTGCAATCCTGAATATAGATTAATAGAACTGCTGTGCTGGAGATATTTTACATCTTTCTTGAGTACAAGCATAGTATCTGCTCCTGACAAGGTGTACTATCATTGCAGCATGGTGTCATCTGTTCCAAACAGGGTGTACTATCATTAGATCATGGTGTCATCTGTTCCAAACAGATTGTACTATCATTAGATCATGGTGTCATCTGTTCCAAACAGGGTGTACTGTCATTAGATCATGGTGTCATCTGTTCCAAACAGAGTGTACTATCATTAGATCATGGTGTCATCTGTTCCAAACTGGGTTTCATTAGATCATGGTGTCATCTGTTCCCAACAGGGTGTACTATCATTGGAGCATGGGGTCATCTGTTCCAAACAGGGTGTACTATCATTAGATCATGGTGTCATCTGTTCCAAACAGAGTGTACTATCATTAGATCATGGTGTCATCTGCTCCAAACAGAGTGTACTATCATTAGATCATGGTGTCATCTGTTCCAAACAGAGTGTATTATCATTAGATCATGGTGTCATCTGTTCCAAACAGAGTGTACTATCATTAGATAATGGTGTCATCTGTTCCAAAAAGGGTGTATTATCATTGGAGCATGGTGTCATCTGTTCCCGACAAGGTGTTCTCTCATTGCAGCTTGGTGTCATCGGCGCTGAATTATTATATCTATCTACACTGTGTACTGTATAATTTATTAAACTAAATCTTTGTAGAAATCATTTTTATTTGATTTGGTGCTCCAAGTAGCTCAGGTTCAGTGTGCTGATTTTGTTTGGAGTAAAAGGTGTGTTGTTCAAGGGGACTGGGTGTTATATATATGTGTTATTATTTCAGGCTACAAGCAGGTGGTCAACATGACCCAGGTGTTTACATGTAATGATGGGATGAAGCTGCAGTTCAGAGAGGACGGGTCATTGGTGGAGCTGTATGATCCCTACAACCAGGTGAGCCTTTCTCTTCACATCAAGTAACCAGGGCCCCGTTCCACAATGCGATCGTAGCGTTAAGATGATCGTAACTCCCATACTTACGACTTACGACTGTCGTAGCAGTACGATCGCTTTGGGGCACTGGGCCCTGGCTCCTTATGTGCAGCCATGTGAGACTACAGGAAATCACCAAAGTAGGGGTCATTGTTGCTGCAGCCTTAGTGCATTTCCACATTTTTGACATGCTATGTTGAGTGAGTGAGTTTAGTTTTACGTTGCTTTTAGCAGTATTCCAGCAAAATCACGGCAGGGGACATCAGAAATGGGCTTCACACATTGTACCCATGTGGAGAATTGAACTGGGGTCATCGGCGTGATGAGCAAACGCTTTAACCAGTAGGCTACCCGACCGCCCCAGTGGCTATGTTGAAAACACAGTTGAAATTTACAATACACAAATGTATCCAATTCTTTGTACCCCTGACTCCATCAATGCAGATTTGGTTGCATCATTGTTCATGTGCCATAGAAACTGTGACAGGTGGAGAACACCCGCACACTAGTAGGGAGTATGTTGACAGTAAACAGCCCCATGTAACCAATGTTCTAAACTCTAACAGTTGACCATCTTTGAGATTTCCACATGTTTTCATATTTATGTAAAGCGTGCTACATCTGTGTGCTGCTCATACATACTTGATCCCTGAGAACCTGATACAAGTCTTCGTAAGTTATAACCTGGGCCCTAGATTTCCGAAGCTCTCTTAGCGCTAAGATAATCATAAGTTAAAGTTAATGTATGGCACTTACTACTATCTTAGCACTAAGAGAGCTTCGGAAATCTAGGCCCTGGACATTTGCAGGCTTCCAAGGTGGACAAAAGTTATATAAAGTGATGGTAACACGCAGGCACCTAGAGTAGTCAGTATCATATATTTATTGACTGTAACATGCTTCTTCATACTTCGAAATATTCTCTGTTCTGAAAGTTGTGTTCTTATTGAAATGTCAGTTGACAGATTTGGCCTGAACTGTAGGTGCCATATAATGTGAAGATAACGGTTTTGTAGTCTATGCCAGTGTATAAAATAAGGCCCATCCGACCGCCCGAGATGGTCTAGATTTCTGACGGAAGGTCTAAATTTACAGTTAGCCAGCCCGATGGTCTGGTAAAAATATATGATGTTCCATACATCTGAGTAAATTCACCATATTTGGTCTGGGTAAATCCATTTTGGGCTGGTAACATTTTGAAGTTACCAGCCCTGATGTCTGACTGGATTTTTGGCTTATTTCATACACTGTCTATGCCCCAATAAAAGTTCATGTAGGTAACCCCAGTAACTGTATTTGCCAAGTTTTGGAAAGTTCATGTAAATCAGGCAGAAATTAAAACCACACATGGAAATATGACAAAACTCTATCTTGATCAGGGTCATGTTCATAAGGTATGCTGCTATCATTCTGTAAAAGATTGAACAATGGTTGATAATCTTTGGCAGATGGTTGATAATCTTTGTTGGATGATTATAATCTTTGTTGGATGGTTGATAATCTTTGGCAGATGGTTGATAATCTTTGTTGGATGGTTGATAATCTTTGTTGGATGGTTCATAATCTTTGGCAGATGGTTGATAATCTTTGTTGGATGGTTGATAATCTTTGTTGGATGGTTGATAATCTTTGGCAGATGGTTGATAATCTTTGTTGGATGGTTCATAATCTTTGGCAGATGGTTGATAATCTTTGGCAGATGGTTGATAATCTTTGATGGATGCTTGATAATCTTTGGTAGATGCTTAATAATCTTTGGCAGATCGCCATCATTAGGCAGAAGCAGGATGTGACAGAGGTAAATAAAGATGATTGGAGCTACAGTGTTGGTGAATAACTTGACAAATGCAGTACACTGGTGTGGAATGTTTCACATGGAAATTCATGCTATAATAGGACAGTACTTTCCTGCCTAACATGTTCTACTTTTCTCAGACAATGCAATGTCCAGCTACTCACACATCCTTGCAATGAGGGATCCTTGTCAATGAGTAAGATCCCGACCGTTCGTCAAACCAAAAAACGTTAAAAATATGGTACTTGTTGGTCCCTGCCTGGCGCCGGCATTAATGGGTACAACAAGGACGGCTCAGAGTTTAGTCTGAGTGGGGTATCATGCTTCCAGCAATATCAGTGGGCTAGCACTATAAAACCAGCCTCAAATGGGCTTACAAGCAGCCGCACATACACATTGTACCGTCATATGAGGACGACGTGAAAACCAAATTTCACCTCAACCTCCTTGCAATGGTCTTCGGGTTTTACATCACTTTTAGCAATATTCCAGCTTTAACCATTAGGGCTTCACACATTGTACCCGCGGAATCGAACCGGTCTCGGCTTGCAATGATGTGCAAATCATCTGTGAAATGCAGTGTCATTCCTACAAGCACTTAAGGTCATCCAGCGACCAACTCATAATGTAAATCTACCCGAATACAGGGAAATAAACCTTTCAGAATATCCCACTAGACCACAGGACCAGTGAGTGGACAATGATTAGTGGTCCTGTCTGTACTTCACTGGTCCAAAATTACATTCATAGATTTACTTAAAAAATTCACTGCCCACCAGGACCACTGCAAACTTATCATTTATTCCTGATGAATGTTTACTAGCCAGGGACCACAGATTCAGCTTAAACTTCGCACACTGTAACACATTCCTGCTTCTTTGTAGGTTTGGTTAAATATTGTTTTTCCCTTTTTTGCATATCTGTTTTGGAAATGGAGAAGTTGCCATGGTAACCACTTGTGATTTAACTGGTAGGTGAGGTGGGCATCCACAGAGAACCCGATGGGGCAGATCCAGTATGTCACCTACAATGAGACAGACTTTGTGTATATGGCCTCTGTGTACAACTACAGAGGAGGTGCCGGCTACGACAAACCCAACTCCACCAAGAACGCCGACCCAGACTCCAGACAGTGGAACTTCCTCGTGGACAGTTTGTACGAAAAAATGTGTGAGTGTCTCAGGGGCCTTGACCCTTTGTTCTCATCATGTAGCTACGTATTTTGTAAAGAGTAAGTCTCTCATGTTTTACAGCTAATAGATTTCATATTTTAGAACACATTTGTATTCTATATACCACAAGTTGGAAATATAGCTGGGCTTTATGTTCATCGCTGTGGCTTCTGATTGGGCCAAAACCGCCTCCGTGGTGTAGTGGTTAGACCCTTCCGCCCAGAGAGCTGAAGGTCGCGGGTTTGATCCCCGACCGCGTCATACCAAAAGACGTTAAAATATGGTACTTGTTGGTCCCTGCCTGGCGCTCGGCATTAATGGGTACAACGACTGGTCGGCTCGGAGTCAGTATACTGTGTCTGAGTGGGGTACTCATGCTTCACTGCGGCATGGTATCTCAGTGGGATAGCACTATAAAACCAGCATCAGTCTGGGCTAGTACAAGCAGCCACACATACACACACACATGCATGCACGTCGTCATATGAGCGAAATATTCTCAAGCACGACGTTAAAACCCAATTTCACCTCACCTCACCTCTGATTGGGCCAAATAAATCTGGGCTCTCTTGCTAAAGCGGTGGTCACATCTTACAGACATGAATGTAGTTGACCGTAGTGGGTAATGAATGTAGTAGACCGTAGTAAACTCGTATTTGACCTTAGTTAAATGTAGTTAGATGTATTTAAGCGTAGTTCAACATAGGTCACTGTAGTTACTTTGAACTTCAGCAAACCCATGACTTGGCTGTGGTTAGACCAAAACAATTTCAACATGTTCAAAATATCTCTACGGTTAGCTTGAATGCCAAGACCCTACTGTTACGGTAGTTTAAACGGGGTTGACCAGCCTACTGCACTGTAGTGGTAACATGGCACTACTGATCAAACTGTGGTTTACTACATTAATCACTATGGTCTAGTAGAACAACTTTCATGACCGTAAGATGTGACCACGCCCTTAAGGCAGTTCCTCGTGATGGACTCAACTAGCTTGCTACATGTCACATTGTCAGTATTCACTGTATGGAGATTGGATTCTCCAAGATGTCCTCCGAGTGTAGCAAGACTATGAATTGATTGCTTGGCTTCTCTACATCAGCACTTGATCACAGCTGTGACTTGATCATGAAACTGAGGCCAGCAGACCCAGCGATGTACTGGAAGTATGGAGCTCCTCAAGAGATCTGGCTGCATCATGTCACCCACGGATCAGATGAACAACACTTACATGGAGGTATGTAGCTAAGTATTACTGAGACATGTGTAGCTCAATGTTAAGGGAGATATGTGGCTTAGTGTTACAGGGAGAAGTTTAGCTTAGTGTTACGTGGAGTTGTGTAGCTTAGTGTTACAGGGAGATGTGTAGCTTAATATCACAGGGACATTTGAAGTTTAGTGTTACAGGGAGATGTGTAGCTTAATATCACAGGGACATTTGAAGTTTAGTGTTATGTGGAGTTGTGTAGCTTAGTGTTACAGGGAGATGTGTAGCTTAATATCACAGGGACATTTGAAGTTTAGTGTTACAGGGAGATGTGTAGCTTAATATCACAGGGACATTTGAAGTTTAGTGTTATGTGGAGTTGTGTAGCTTAGTGTTACAGGGACATTTGAAGTTTAGTGTTATGTGGAGATGTGTAGCTTAATATCACAGGGACATTTGAAGTTTAGTGTTATGTGGAGTTGTGTAGCTTAATATCACAGGGACATTTGAAGTTTAGTGTTACAGGGAGATGTGTAGCTTAATATCACAGGGACATTTGAAGTTTAGTGTTATGTGGAGTTGTGTAGCTTAGTGTTACAGGGAGATGTGTAGCTTAATATCACAGGGACATTTGAAGTTTAGTGTTACAGGGAGATGTGTAGCTTAATATCACAGGGACATTTGAAGTTTAGTGTTATGTGGAGTTGTGTAGCTTAGTGTTACAGGGAGATGTGTAGCTTAATATCACAGGGACATTTGAAGTTTAGTGTTACAGGGAGATGTGTAGCTTAATATCACAGGGACATGTGGAGATGTGTAGCTTTATGTTACATGGACATTTGAAGTTTAGTGTGATGTGGAGATGTGTAGCTTAATATCACAGGGACATTTGAAGTTTAGTGTTATGTGGAGTTGTGTAGCTTAATATCACAGGGACATTTGAAGTTTAGTGTTACAGGGAGATGTGTAGCTTAATATCACAGGGACATTTGAAGTTTAGTGTTATGTGGAGTTGTGTAGCTTAGTGTTACAGGGAGATGTGTAGCTTAATATCACAGGGACATTTGAAGTTTAGTGTTACAGGGAGATGTGTAGCTTAATATCACAGGGACATTTGAAGTTTAGTGTTATGTGGAGTTGTGTAGCTTAGTGTTACAGGGAGATGTGTAGCTTAATATCACAGGGACATTTGAAGTTTAGTGTTACAGGGAGATGTGTAGCTTAATATCACAGGGACATTTGAAGTTTAGTGTTATGTGGAGTTGTGTAGCTTAGTGTTACAGGGAGATGTGTAGCTTAATATCACAGGGACATTTGAAGTTTAGTGTTACAGGGAGATGTGTAGCTTAATATCACAGGGGACAGTGTTTTGAAGTTTAGTGTTACAGGGAGATGTGTAGCTTAATATCACAGGGACATTTGAAGTTTAGTGTTATGTGGAGATGTGTAGCTTAATATCACAGGGACATTTGAAGTTTAGTGTTATGTGGAGATGTGTAGCTTAATATCACAGGGACATTTGAAGTTTAGTGTTATGTGGAGATGTGTAGCTTAATATCACAGGGACATTTGAAGTTTAGTGTTATGTGGAGATGTGTAGCTTAATATCACAGGGACATTTGAAGTTTAGTGTTATGTGGAGATGTGTAGCTTAATATCACAGGGACATTTGAAGTTTAGTGTTATGTGGAGATGTGTAGCTTAATATCACAGGGACATTTGAAGTTTAGTGTTATGTGGAGATGTGTAGCTTAATATCACAGGGACATTTGAAGTTTAGTGTTATGTGGAGATGTGTAGCTTAATATCACAGGGACATTTGAAGTTTAGTGTTATGTGGAGATGTGTAGCTTAATATCACAGGGACATTTGAAGTTTAGTGTTATGTGGAGATGTGTAGCTTAATATCACAGGGACATTTGAAGTTTAGTGTTATGTGGAGATGTGTAGCTTAATATCACAGGGACATTTGAAGTTTAGTGTTATGTGGAGATGTGTAGCTTAATATCACAGGGACATTTGAAGTTTAGTGTTATGTGGAGATGTGTAGCTTAATATCACAGGGACATTTGAAGTTTAGTGTTATGTGGAGATGTGTAGATTAATATCACAGGGACATTTGAAGTTTAGTGTTATGTGGAGATGTGTAGCTTAGTGTTACATAAAAGGAACAGTGTAGCTTTATGTCAGAGGAAGGAGCATAGCCTTGTGTTATGGAAAAGTGTCTAGTTATAGTGAAGTTGTGACTGCCAGTCTCTGTACATGGAGAATCAGTTCATGGTGTCTGCATGTTCAACAAGGTACATGGATGTATTGAAAGGCCTGAGTGATATTTCAGGGATTGATGTGACTGTCCAGTGGTTTGACAAGCCTCCCACACGTCTGGCGGAGTCTCTCTCCTACAGTTTCCGTCCCACTCCCCAGCCCCAGATGGACTGGTACATATCGAAGACAGGGCAGATGGTGGCTGCAGACAGCGTTGTCCTCAATGGCAGTCAGTATGTGCATGGTGAGACAATCTTGTCACCTTAATGTACACTATGTATTCCAACAGCACTTTCAAAATGTCTCCTCCAGTCCCTAACTTTCCCTGTTCTGAACGCTGTGTTCTGATTGTCCATGTATGAATGGTATGATGGCTTGAAGGAGGTTTCACCTTTGGCCATGGCAGACAATGAGCTTGCTGTTAAGGCACATGAGAGCCATGTTGAAAGTATTGCCAGTTATAATAGTTAAAGGAAAGCCCATTTCTGGTGTGCCCCGCCATGATGTTGCTGAATACTGTTAAAAGCTGTGTAAACCATACTCACTATAATAGTTACCTGTTAATGAATTATTGAGATTAATGGACCATATCAATCATAAATCATGTAATGGAAATTTCAAAATGGTGGATGGTGGGTTTGTCAGCACTATTCCTATACCCATGGGTTTCACTATGATGGCACCCATCTGAGACCTGCGTCACTTTACCTTCATCACACATCAAGCAGACTCGTGTCTCAAACTCAATTATTGATTCACTGATATAGCCATGGTCTCATGGCAGCATTCATGACAGGTTTATTCAGAAAGAATATTACATATCTTGTTTCCCCAAGGCTGGACTGTTGTATTAGATTATAGGAAAAATGTCCTTGGTAAAAAAGTCGTTTTGGAGTAAAAACTGACTTAGTAATTTATTTGACAAAATTGACATCAAATATTGATATCTCAAATAATGACAGATTAAATTTTGACATCAAAGATTTAAAAAAAAACCACATTAAGAAATCACATATAATGACAGATTATTTTTTAAATTTGATGTTTGATCTTTTATACAACATCTAAAGAAAATATTATGTTCACAAACTTCTGCACAAACTGTGTAGTGATTTGCCGCTGTAAGGAAGTCCATCCCTGAGTTTAAACTCTTATTTAGGACAGATCAGCTGTCAGTGAACATATGACATGTTTAACTTCTAAACATCAACAAATCACCCCAGTTCTGAAAGCCTTCCATTGGCTACCTAGAAAAGCAAGGATAGAATATATTATCTGCTGTCTCCCTTTATAGCCTGTAGAATCAAACTCTCCACGCATGATTGTTTCTATTTCTCATCTGTTTTCATGTTTTATGAAGCACGCTCAACATGCGATCTTTGGTCAATGTGACACATTAGAAATGTTCATGATTATTATTGTAACTGACCATCTTCATATACTAACCGTGTAAGTTAAAAACCATATAATATATAACTCGTCAACTCAACATGCAAGTTGTAAACCACGTAACTGACCATGTGCATTTTAAACCATGTAATTGAATGTGTAAGTTTTAACCATGTAATGGACCATCAGAGTTATAAACCATATAACTGAACATGTAAGTGATAAACCATGTAATGGACCAAGTAAAAGTTATTAATCATGTAATCAACCAACAAATATATGAACCAACAGAACATCATAGTTATAAACTATGTAGGTTGACACATGTCATCGGTTCCCAATTGCGTAGATCGATGCTCATGCTGTTGATCACTGGATTGTCTGGTCCAGACTCTATTATTTACAGACCGCCGCCATATAGCTGGAATATTGCTGAGTGCGGCATAAAACTAAACTCACTCACTCATCATAAACTATGTAATGCAATATTTAAGTTATTAATCATATAATTGACGATCAGTTATAAACCAGGTAATGGACCATGCAAGTTATAAACCCTGTAATGGACCATGCAAGGTATAAACCATACAACTAACATACAGACCATATGTATTCTAAACCCTATAACTATCCATCTGTTGATGATTGTGAGATATATCCCTGGTGTAACAGCGTGTTGTTTGTTCCAGCTACCGACCAAGGAATGTATTACACAGTCAGTGACGGGAGTGGCCTGGGACTCTTGACCTCAGATGTCCCTCTCGTGTATGTAGGTACCAAGGGCCACCCTCCATCCCCCTTCCCCGTGCCCCTCAACCCCATCACCCAGCAGGACATCACCAGCATGGCCTTCAACTTCTACAACAACATCTGGAACACCAACTACATCTTGTGGTATCCATACCATAAAGGAGATGAAAACTTTAAAGGGCGATTTCAAGTAGAGTTTATAGTAGACAAGTAGAGGTGTACAGATCATATATTGTTTTTTATTTTTGTATCTTTATTAAAGTTTTGTAACTTTGTTCAGTTTGTATGTATGCTGTAGTCACAACGATGCAATATCTTTGGTGAGATGTATGACGTGTAGTCATGTAACAAGTAAGGATGGGAAAGCCACATTAACTTGGTGCTCCGAGTGGCTGTAAAAGTTATAGATTGAAAATATGATGTGCCATTGAGACTGACATCCAATCATCGAGGGAAAACAAAGTGCCTTTGAGCAGCTGAGGTGGATATTGTTGCTGTACAAATATTAGTGTGTGTGTGTGTGTGTGTGTGTGTGTGTGTGTGAGTGAGTGAGTGAGTGAGTGAGTGAGTGTGTGTGTGTGTGTGTGTGTGTGTGTGTGAGTGTGTGAGTGCGTGCGTGCCTGCGTGTCTCATAAAACACAGAAGTATAAACTACACATAAAGGCAAGGCCCCCATAAAGGCAAGGTCTGAAAGTACCTGCTGGACCCCAGGTCTGAAAGTACCTGCTGGATAAGGCAAGGTCTGAGGAAGTACCTGCAGTTCCAGGTCTGAAAATAAGGGGCAGCAGGTCTGAAGGTCTGAAAGTACCTGCTGGACGCCATAAGCAGTCCCCATAAGGGCAAGGTCTGAAAGTACCTGCTGGACCTGCTGGATCAAGCAGTCCCCATAAAGGCAAGGTCTGAAAGTACCTGCTGGATCAAGCAGTCCCCATAAGGGACAACCTGTTTGAAAGTACCTGCTGGATCAAGCAGTCCCCATAAGGGCAAGGTCTGAAAGTACCTGCTGGATCAAGCAGTCGCCATAAGGGCAAGGTCTGAAAGTACCTGCTGGATCAAGCAGTCGCCATAAGGGCAAGGTCTGAAAGTACCTGCTGGATCAAGCAGTCGCCATAAGGGCAAGGTCTGAAAGTACCTGCCGTCAAGCAGTCCCCATAAAGTCCCCATAAAGGCAAGGTCTGAAAGTACCTGCTGGATCAAGCAGTCCCCATAAAGGCAAGGTCTGAAAGTACCTGCTGGATCAAGCAGTCCCCATAAGGGCAAGGTCTGAAAGTACCTGCTGGATCAAGCAGTCCCCATAAGAGGCAAGGTCTGAAAGTACCTGCTGGATCAAGCAGTCGCCATAAGGGCAAGGTCTGAGTACCTTCTGGACCAAGCATAAAGGTCTTGTAACTCTTTCAATTCAAAAGAAGAAACATACGTGACACTCCAGTAAGCCCACACAGATTACCCTCCAGTAAGTCCACACAGATTACCCTCCAGTAAGCCCACACAGATTACCCTCCAGTAAGCCCACACAGATTACCCTCCAGTAAGCCCACACAGATTACCCTCCAGTAAGCCCACACAGATTACACCCCAGTAAGTCCACACGTAGAGTAAACTCCAGTAAGCCCACACATAGAGTACCCGCCAGTGTCGTAAGGAAAACAAATTTGGACGTCCGACATTCCATCCACTGTATCTTATAAATGGGTAGATTCAATAGAGCGTGATAAGGGAAAAACTACTCAACACATATATTACTTCTGTATTTCTGTTTAATATGCAACTGTAAAATAATATGTACAAGTATGTTTTCATCACGTTTCATCACGTATTATTCACTGTTGAACAGCAGAGAATGACATTTCTAGTTAAACACATCTTTACTGCTGTATGTATTCAACATGTTTTGAATAAATGGCAGATGTGGTAATCGTTTGAAAAGACTTTTAATTTTAGCTGGTCATGTGTCAATCAACGAACGGTACAGATGATGGTGTACATCAGTCCAGCTGATCGATTGGACGGAGCCAGATGTCATCGATCTGCCAACAGAAGCAGGGAACATGCAGGAGTGAGTGAAATTGGTTTTACGCCGCTTTTAGTAATATTGCAGCAGTATCACGGCGGGGATACCAGAAATGGGCTTCAAACACTGCACCAATGTGGGGATTCGAACCTGGGTTTTCAGCGTGACGAGCGAATGCTTTAACCACTAGGCTACCCCACCGCCCCGTATGTGCTGGAGCCATTGTCTCACTGTGTATGTAGTATTGAGTGAGTGAGTTTAGTTTTACGCGGCACTCAGCAAAATTACAGCTATATGGCGGCGGTCTGTAAATAATCGAGTCTGGACCAGACATTCCAGTGATCAACAGCATGAACATCGAACTGCGCAATTGGGAACCGATGACCGTGTGTTAACCAAGTTAGCGAACCTGACCACTCGATCCCGTATGTAGTATTGAAAGATCATATCCCGGCTGTCATCATATCTACGCAATGATAACAGAATGTCTGGCATGGCACGCGGAATATAATGGAAGCTATAGAGGATGTTGAAAAACATACATAGCGTTCCTTCAGATATTGCTTTAATAACGTTGCCATCTTCAAGCTTTATACGACTGGGTATCCCTGAATCGAAACATGATATTTGGGCAAACAATTACACCCCGACCCCACCCAACGCTCCATATTCAACATGGCGTATTTACTAAAGAAGTCACATAGTCAATGAAGAACTGGTTTTCATGGATGCACTACCCGTGTAGAATTGATCTTAGTAACCCCTGCTTGTCTTAAGAGGCCACTAACGGGATCGGATGGTCAGGCTCGCTGACTTGGTTGACATGTCATCGTTTCCCAATTGCGTAGATCGATGCTCATGCTGTTAATCACTGGATTGTCTGGTTCAGACTCGATTATTTTCAGACCGCTGGAATATTGCTGAGAGCGGCGTAAAGCTAAACTCACTCACTCATGGATGCACACGTATAAGACGAGCATACCCAATTAGAATGTTTGAGATTAAGCATTTTGTCCAAGCAGAATGCTTACATCAGGATAATGTTCATTAGTGACTTACACTACAGTAGTTATATCCTCCATAACCCACCTGTGCTCGTGGAGGAGAACTGAGAGCGTAGATGACAGCGTCAACAATGTCGGACGGCTGCAGACACTGCAACATCGGCAACATAGTCGGATATGACTCAATGGATCTTTTAAAAGGGATGGGGTTTACGATGGCCCTGCACAAATGCCATGTTAAGTGACTTTGATGCTTTTTACTTAAATCGTCATACAAAATTCAACTATACTTACTTTCAAAAGTTTAGACTCACTTGTGTAAATGTAGACACTTAATTCAGGCAAAAACTATATTTTGCAATATATTCCATACTGTTTAGAGGTAGTGTTTACTCATGAACTGATGCATTGCAAAACAAATTCGTAATGTTGACAAGATTATTGTCAAGAGTTCAATAAATGATAAATATCAGTGAAAATTGGCGAATTCTTAAAAAGACTGTACACCGAAACGCAGCTGTTCACATGCACGATATTTGCACATGCATTTCAGCAATATGATGCATGATCCTCGTGAAATTTATCTGCATAAGGTTTGCAGTTCGTTCCCCCGAGTTTGTGGAGAAATGAATCTTCGATTTAACCATAAATATATCAATAACATATAGTGAGTGTTTTATGTGAGTCTAACTCGAAGTATATTACAGAAATTTGCTGTATGAGACCTAATTGCTATACTAGTATCGAGTGCACGGTGAAGGGCTGCTTCAGTTTGTGGACTTACAGTGGAGGAGCTGTAGATAGCCTGAGCTTTGGCATCGTCCTTTAACATTCTGTTGAGGAACTCCGTCTCCACATCGCCCGGGCTTATTGACTGAAAGGAGAGATATTCATGGTGGGGAAATACGAATTTTGGCACACGGCCATTTGGGACAATTGCACTGTCAATGATACTTTTGTGGGTTACTCGTGAATCTGTGATGAGGGATCTTCTGTACATATGTGTTAATCGATATCTGTATGTCGTCAGTATCATGCATTCAGAAGAAAGTCTTTCTGTATCATTGAGACGATGATACTATATATGTTTGAAAAAATCTCATTTGGACTTCACCTGAAGAAGGTGAAGAAGTGGCCCAGAAACTTTGTGTTGTACAGTAAATAAGAAGTTGTCATCCATATACTTGTGTTATATCATTTATACTTTGTACTTAACATGTGTATGAATGCAGACTTGGTCTCGTGGCTATATGGCTGGAATAATGCCGATGTGACGTCAAACTCAACTCAACTCACCGTAACCTTGGCAGCAACCTTATCTTCCCTGAACTCAAACCTCATCCCGTGCAGTATGGCAGTGACAGCGTGTTTGGTGGCAGCGTAGAAGTGGTTGGCTTTGTGGACCTGGATTCTATGTCCAGACATGCTGCAACAGTGGAGCCAGGAAACACCTTTATAGTCGTCTACGTTGACCTTAGATGACAAACATTTCAGTGAGCGATACAACTTCATCCCCGAACATGTCTTCCTGAGTGACAATGCTGGGTTCCGCAAATTGCAATACGTAGAAGCCGATTCTTGTTAAACAAGAAAATTACTTAAAAAGGCAACGTTGGAGGCACCTGAGTGAATTAAAAAAATTAGTGAGAAGGAAGTTAGATGATTTGAAGGTGAAGCTGATTTCAAGAGCACCACGATGACTATACCTCCGTCTATTAATAGTAATGCCGGAAATGCTTGGAAAATGCTTTTTGGCTTCAATATCAATATGATGAAATTGGCACAAATAAAAGCACATATATGATACATGTACGACTCTACCTAGTTGGACATTTAAGCTCAGATGTAAAATGCACTTGAGGGGTGACTTCACATTCGTAAATATTCTAAGTACAAACTGTAGTTTTGAAATACAGACTATAATTATTCATATAGCCTCAACTAATTAAATCACATAAATGATTGTAAAAGGTTTTGTGTTTTTGAACATCTATATGTGAAAATGATGGAACTCTTGCAGTAATTATATTCAAAATAATTACGTAAAAAGTCTTAATTCAAATCGCATAGATAATCTTGTTCACCCATAGTATGAGCATTGATTGAACTGGCAACATGCGAATTGATATTTCTGCAGAACAATTAATTTCAAATTTATACCAGTATTTCATACTGGAGAAACAAAGGGGGGAAACCTCTCGTCAGCTATGACAGGGTTTACTATAGAATATGTAAAGCCCTTAATTTGACATATAGTCAGGTTTACAAAGCTGTAAACAAATCAGTTACCTCAGGGGTCGTGTCAAAATCAAAACCAGGTAGGAAACACAAACTGGATAGGTTTAATAAGGGTGTCATACGCCGTGCAGTTTATAAACTGTATCAGACCGACGTGTTCTAAAATACAAGATGAGGTCAAAGATACAATAAATGTCTCGAAAACAACACTTATTGTAGCTCTGGTAGAAATGGGGTTCAGGTACACCAAAAGGGGAGATGACAGAGCTGTGTTTAGAGAAAAGTACTGGTTAAGGCACCAGTGTTACCATCAGGCAAAGGTAGACGCCTGGTCATCTTGCATGCTGGTACCCGTAGCAAGGGACTGATTGGGGGTTGTGTCTTTGTTTTTTGAGGCCAAGACATCTGATGGTGATTACCATAGCGAAATGAATGGGCAGGTATTTTTGGATTGGTTCGAACATCAGCTTTTACCGCAGCTGGATAACGCTGGATAGCTGGATTTTGGATAACGCCAGTTACCATTACCTGCGTGTCCCTGGTAGCATCACAACCACCATGAGCAATCTCAAGGCTCACTTGCAGGATTTTCTCACTTCCTGTAACGTGCCTTACAGGCAATCAGAAACAAAGCCCCAGCTCATGGAAAAAATCCGGCAGCACAAAAAGCCAATCACAAAAAGCGAACTAGCTGCAAAACAAGGCCACATAGTTCTGCGTACACCAGTACGGCACTGCGAGCTCAATCCCATCGAGCTGATCTGGGGTAACTGTAAGAATTTTATTGCTGGCAATAATACCACATTCAAGCTTTCAGACGTTAAAGAGCTTGTGTATGCTTCTTTTGCGAGAATTACCCCAGAAGTGTGTCAAAAGACGAGGACGAGTTCTCAAAATCGAGGACGAATACCGTCTGCGGGACGGCGTTAGCATCAGCAGTGATACTGACACTTGATATTTTGAGACGGTCCCTGACATGCACTGCATGTGCGTTACATAACGCTGTCATCCTGTCTGCCTGCCAAGTGTGTCACAGTGTAGTTTGTTTCTTAGAAGTGTTTCTACCATGGAATTTTTAAAAAAGGTTTTCGATAATTTACGAGTAATCATTATGATTAGGGAATGGTACATCGTGATTACTCATATGCCATATTAGGTCGAGGTGGTTTGATTGATTATATATGAGTTTTGAATCTGAACTATCAACCATTATGAAATAATTGCCAAAAAGCATTTTCCAAGCATTTCTGGCCTTACTTTTTTTAGAGACTTGCATCTATTAGAGATCAATACTCGCCTCGCAAATACGGTACTCTCATCTCCAGTGTATGGCAGTTCATATCATAGGCCTTTGTCATGTCTAACCATGTCTGGAAATGAAGTACTAGTGACGGACGGAGGAAACATGGTCCAATATAGTGACACTGCCGGGCCAGCGTTTATAAGCGCACGTGGGTTCGCACAGTGATTACTGAGACGGTATAACGTGTACGTTCAGCACTCGCGGTACTGTTACTGAACACGCCTCTCGAACCGATTCTAGGAAACCAGTCGGCCCTTCGCTAAATTCCAGGAAAAGCTAATGGGTGCGACTAAATGGAATGGATTTTCCGATCCTACAATTCGAAATTATGCACTGACCTAGTACAGGTGTGCTCTATTACGTGTAAAATTGTTTTGAATTGAAAGTGTATCAGTCTATGAACGTTTTTGATCAGTAGATACACAGAATGTGTTAAAATTATAGACTTATAGAAAAGTCGATTTCCGCATTAACGACGAAGTAACGCGGGACAATTATTTCGGATTACCCACATGGTCACGTGGCTCCTAATTGCTACAGCTATGTTCACTGGTCATTTGGAATTGCCAAAATACAAAGAGACTAAGTATCATTGGCTGAACGTTCATTTTGAATAATCCAAGTGTATATTATAGAGAGACATTTCACCTGAGAGACAAATTCAGCCTGATTAAGAGGTTGGTGGCGTTTGCGGCTCCAACCAATAATGAGTTGTCTTAGTGACTTCAGGATATATTTAACGAGTATCACAGCAGAATACCATTGTTGTTTGTTGGCAGCATCAAAGCAATGGGCTTGATCCACTACAGGGCGGAAAATACCGGTGCCAGGTTAGTTCTTGATCCATTCGTGACCAACTCGTGTTATTCCGGGACAAGCCGTCATCTTGGAGGTTACGGAAAGGGGCGAGTGGTGACGAATGAACAAGCATTGATAGGGGAATGAGTCATCTTGGAGGTTACGGAAAGGGGCGAGTGGTGACGAATGAACAAGCATCGATAGGGGAATGAGTCATCTTGGAGGTTACGGAAAGGGGCGAGTGGTGACGAATGAACAAGCATCGATAGGGGAATGAGTCATCTTGGAGGTTACGGAAAGGGGCGAGTGGTGACGAATGAACAAGCATCGATAGGGGAATGAGTCATCTTGGAGGTTACGGAAAGGGGCGCGTGGTGACGAATGCTCATGATCATGATCTGTTTAGAATTCCTGGATTCCTCCAGAGAAGGGGTACACACAGCAAATCGCTTGTGTAGCTGAAGGATGTCCCACTTACCACTCCGTAGGTATATAGCATACTTCTCCCGACCATGCTGACACTTACCCTGGGCTACGACATGGTAGTAAACTCTGTCAAAAAAGAAACGCAACCCCTGTATTTTAGAGATTTTGATCTGAAGTTTTAAGACGACACAGCATTTTTATTATTTAAGACAGAAGTCTGAAATTTGGCAGAATAATAACCAAGATGGGCATGTTTAAAATTGTCATTTCAAAAGTCATCTCACAGACACCAGTTTGTCACCAGGGGGGCGTCTTTCTCAGTATCTCGTATGAGCACCACGAGCTGCAATCACTGCACGGCATCTCCTTGGACAAGAACGGATAAGACGCCGGATTCTTTCCTGGGGAATGGCTCTCCACTCCTCCTGCAGTGCAACGCCGAGCTGTTGCAGCGTCTGTGGCGGCGGCTGACGTTGACGTACGCGTCGACCCAGAGTATCCCACAGGTGTTCAATAGGGTTGAGGTCTGGTGATTTAGAGGGCTATGGCAAGACATTGACGTTGGAATTCTGCAGAAAGTTCATTGTTGCACGTGCAATATGAGGCCGGGCGTTGTCTGGTTGAAAAATCTGTGTCTGTTGGTCAATAATCGGGAGAAGGTGAGGCTGTAATACGTGGTTGATGTAACGTTGGGCTGTCAGGTTCCCTTCAACGATCACCAAGTCTGATTTCTGGTTGTATGAGATGGATCCCCAAACCATAACGCTTTCTCCGCCAAATCTGTCCCCTGTCGGACGCAGATGGGCGCAAAACGTTCATGACGTCTCCTATACACACGTTTTCTTCCGTCGTGATGTTGCAAAAGAAAACGGGATTCATCAGAAAACCAGATGCGCCTCCAGTTTTGTAAAGTCCATATCCTTACGTTGTTGCACCACCTGAGTCGTCGGCGGAGATGTAGGGGCGTAGTACAGGTCCAACAACTGGTCTACAGGCACGTAAACCCGCTTCTTTCAGACGGTTCCTAATCGTTTGAGCTGACACTCTCCTCAAACCTGGTATTTGTGTGGCAGTCACGGTTGGTAGGGCATGCCGATTACGCAGGTGATGGACCCGGATGTACCGATCTTGAAGGGGGGTCGTGATTCTTGGCCTTCCACTTCTCGGGCGATCGTTGGTCAAATTGAAGTTGTTGTAGCGGCTCCAAAGTCGGGATATCGTTGTTTTGTGAACATTTAGGTGCCGTGCAACAGTTCCAAAACTTTCTCCGGCTTGAACACGACCAATGGCGATATTTCGGTCGGCAGCACTCAATCGTGGCATTTTTCACACAGCTTTTCATGCGACAAATGAATGAATATAATACGAAAGCACATGGGCTTTTATACAACCCTACATTAACTGCCATTTTCATGATTTGCATGTGTTTTTTTTGTGCGAAGTCACCATGAGGGTCATTTCATGCGTTGTGACGGAATAAGCAATAAAATACACTTATGCGTACAAATGCAGTTGTTTGGATGGTAATCTTCATTAATTACGTGTATAATTTCAATACATTCGAATAACATTTAGTTTGGAAGCAATAACTTCATTCAAACGAATTTTTCATATCTGAGGACAGGGGTTGCGTTTCTTTTTTGACAGAGTTTATATGGTTAAATTGCATAGCTATCAGCTAACAGTGATGATCCCCTGCACCTGGAGGAATACCAGAGGAGATACACAGTGCCAGTGTCAGCTTATCATCGGTTATTTACATTTATAGTCTGTTTGCAGTGAAAACGTACCGATGAATTTCACTTTAAACAAAAAAGTAAATCGAATAAAGTGAAATCAAGATTGCGATTCCTCATAATTTTACCTTGCCTGTTGAAAATTTAATTCAGAATTTTATTCAACTTAAGATAAAAGTTGTTTAACAAACGATCATAGTTTCAAATCGTTATTATTGGTTTGTATTACATGGGGGTCTGCACATTAAATGAAACACCGAGAACAAGTAGGGCTGGTCTAAGTTAACGCTCATCACGTCCGGCCCGTGCATTTGTTTCACTGTTCCAACTACTGCGCTTATCCCCTTGTAACACAACCCAATAATAGTGATTCGAATCTATGATCGTTTGTTAAACAACCTTTATCCTAAGTTGAATAAAATTCTGAGATTTATATGTGTAATTGGCAAGGTAAAGTTATGAGGATTCGCAATCTTAATTTCAGGTTATTTGATTTACTTTTTTGTTTAAAGTGAAAATCATCGGTACGTTTTCACTGCAAACAGACTGTAATTGTGCGTTCCTGCCAGTCATCCTATTCTTATCCAATCGTTAATGTACAAACAGCTCAAGTCAGTGAGGCCCATCTGTTATGAGTGTAATGGCTATCAATAGCTTCTCAATCCGCAGCCAGCAAATGATCTATACCATATATATGTCTAGTGTTAAGGTTGTGTAAGTGTATCAAAGGTCCAAGTCGGGAACGATGTGGTCGGGCGTTGTCATCCATAAATACAGGGCGAGTAGCTAATGTTTGGTTATCTACATGTGGCACAACAACAGGATCCAGAATGTCCCAGATGTCGTGAAACCTTGCCATTGAGATTTCCACGAACAGTGACCAAGTCCAGTTTACAATCATGGGAGAGACAACCCCAGACCATGACAGATCCACCACCGTAAGGAACTGATGCTCTCGTGTTCTTAGGCTCATAGGCACTGTTCTTGTCTCATCCCATGTGCCTTTATGCGGTTTCTTACAGTCCACAGACGTCTGTTGGGGAGCCATAGGTGCTTCAGGACGCCATTTGTAGTGCTAGGCTGACGTCTCACATGGCTTGCTAAATCCCGATCCTCGGCTTGAGACGTCTTTCGGGGTTGAACTGGCCTTGGTCAGTCCTTAACCTTGTTGGTGTGACGGTGTTTTTTAACAAGTCGACTTATGACGGTGTGGTGAATGTCAAGCTGTCGCCCAATAACCCTGCATGACAACCCGGTGTCGTGCATTCCAATAATTTGCCATCTTTATGCTTCTGGTAGTCTCCTTCGTGCCATTGTAACAGAGACTGGTAAAATCATTAAAAAGTTTGGGCGTTGTATACATTAGCCGCGTTGAGTTGAATGTGCGTTTTTGAGACAATCGTGGGTAGTGTGCTTCAACTGCATATTGGGATGTATTTTTACGATTGATTTAGCAATGATTCGTCTCACCTGTTGATCAGGATGAAGTGGCCGTCGTTGACACCTCGTTCCCGCTGAGATTTATAGGCTTCACGGGAGCAGATACAGAGCGCCAACACATTCACCTGAGGTCCAAGAGCAGATGCAAAGGGTCAACAAATTCACCTGAGATACAAGAGCAGATACATATAGCCAACACATTCACCTGAGGTACAAGAGCAGATACAGAGCGCCAACACATTCACCTGAGGTACAAGAGCAGATACAGAGCACCAACACATTCACCTGTGATACAAGAGCAGATGCAAAGGGTCAACACATTCACCTGAGGTATAAGAGCACATACAAATAGCCAACACATTCACCTGAGATACAAGAGCAGATACAGAGCGCCAAGACATTCACCTGAGGTACAAGAGCAGATGCAAAGGGTCAACACATTCACCAGAGGTACAAGAGCAGATACAGAGCGCCAACACATTCACCTGAGATACAAGAGCAGATACAGAGGGTCACACATTCACCTGAGGTACCAGAGCAGATACAGAGCGCCAACACATTCACCTGAGATACAAGAACAGATACAGAGGGCCCACACATTCACCTGAGGTACAAGAGCAGATACAGAGCGCCAACACATTCGCCTGAGATACAAGAGCAGATACAGAGGGTCACACATTCACCTGAGGTACAAGAGCAGATACAGAGCGCCAACACATTCACCTGAGATACAAGAGCAGATACAGAGCGCCCACACATTCACCTGAGATACAAGAGCAGATACAGAGGGTCACACATTCACCTGAGATACAAGAGCAGATACAGAGCGCCAACACATTCACCTGAGATACAAGAGCAGATACAGAGGGCCCACACATTCACCTGAGGTACAAGAGCAGATACAGAGCGCCAACACATTCACCTGAGATACAAGAGCAGATACAGAGGGTCACACATTCACCTTAGGTACAAGAGCAGATACAGAGGGTCACACATTCACCTTAGGTACAAGAGCAGATACAGAGGGCCCACACATTCACCTGAGATACAAGAGCAGATACAGAGGGTCACACATTCACCTGAGGTACAAGAGCAGATACAGAGGGCCCACACATTCACCTGAGATACAAGAGCAGATACAGAGGGTCACACATTCACCTTAGGTACAAGAGCAGATACAGAGGGCCCACACATTCACCTTAGGTACAAGAGCAGATACAGAGGGTCACACATTCACCTTAGGTACAAGAGCAGATAGAGAGGGCCCACACATTCACCTGAGGTACAAGAGTAGATACAGAGGGTCACACATTCACCTTAGGTACAAGAGCAGATAGAGAGGGCCCACACATTCACCTTAGGTACAAGAGCAGATACAGAGCGCCAACACATTCACCTTAGGTACAAGAGTAGATACAGAGGGTCACACATTCACCTTAGGTACAAGAGTAGATACAGAGGGCCCACACATTCACCTTAGGTACAAGAGCAGATACAGAGGGTCACACATTCACCTGAGATACAAGAGCAGATACAGAGGGTCACACATTCACCTTAGGTACAAGAGCAGATACAGAGGGCCCACACATTCACCTTAGGTACAAGAGTAGATACAGAGGGTCACACATTCACCTTAGGTACAAGAGCAGATACAGAGGGTCAACACATTCACCTGAGGTACAAGAGTAGATACAGAGGGTCAACACATTCACCTGAAGTACAAGAGCAGATACAGAGGGTCACACATTCACCTTAGGTACAAGAGCAGATACAGAGGGTCACACATTCACCTGAAGTACAAGAGCAGATACAGAGGGTCACACATTCACCTTAGGTACAAGAGCAGATACAGAGGGTCACACATTCACCTGAGATACAAGAGCAGATACAGAGGGCCCACACATTCACCTTAGGTACAAGAGCAGATACAGAGGGTCAACACATTCACCTGAGGTACAAGAGCAGATACAGAGGGTCACACATTCACCTGAGGTACAAGGTGACCCATTCGTGGACATCACTTGGTGTTTCTGCTGATGTGGCCTGTATTTTAACAATGTTTCAATTTTTTCACAACCTGTCAGCTTGATATCGGTGACATGTCCAAAGTGATGAGTGTGTATGGTACTGGGATTAGAACCTATGATCATAGTTTTCTGGTGTGACTAAGAGACACAACTCTGCACAGCAAATTGCCCCGCCTTGAATGACAGGGCCACCGTGTGCCGTCATTACAATGAATAGTAGCGCTAATGATTTGTCTTGCTGCTAAAACACACTTGATTGGCCAAATACATTTACAATATATACAATAATTTCCAAAGCAACAATCAAAGATTTGCATTAAGTTCCAGAAAAGCAGCCCCCATTATCATTACGCGTACTACTTCATTGTAAAAACCATTTGAGGTAACAAAAGACCACTGAAGTGTGAAATAGAGTATAACCTTTCCTGCGCATGAGTAGACTAATTGACTTTCTACGCATGCGCACCGGTAATCAAAAAGGGCGACAACGCGACACGCGACAATGCGACATATCGAATATGTCGCATTGTCGCCTGTCGCATTTTAGTCAATTTTTAGGCTTCATTTTACACATCTTAGATAGGGCGCACGCGACAACGCGACATATTTTGACCTTGAAAATTGTCGCTATGTCGCGTGTCACCCTTTGAAGGAATAGAGAAATATTATTCAAAACGCGACACGCGACAATGCGACAAATGGGCGAAATGTCGCGTTGTCGCGTTTTGGTTTATTTTGCCTCATTTTACTTGTTTTGAGATGGCGACAATGCGACAATGCGACAACGCGACAATGTCCCTTCTCGGATTCCATAGATATCACACACATGCTGGTACACACATGTCAAACTGATTTTAATACACGTCAGGCTTTGTGTTGTCTCTCGGGAAAACATACGGATAAAACATACAAAGGACACATACTGTTAGAAAACATTGAATAGTCAATACATAAGGTGTCACAACTATTGACATTTTATATTAATGGGATAAATAGTTTAGCAACGTAACGGAGACATTTGCATCAGCCGTTGAACGTCAGACGACCACAGATTTTGTTTGATGGTTGGCCAAAGCTCTACAACCAATCACATAAAGGCAAGGATTTTATAGATGTCAACTTCTTTATTGTGATGGACACGACGTTAGGAAGTATATTCCTACTTTTCATCAGGTGTATGTTGTTCACATGATGGAGGAGTAACATTCACCTGATGAAGGAGTAACATTCACCTGATGGAGGAGTAACATTCACCTGATGAAGGAGTAACATTCACCTGATGGAGGAGTAACATTCACCTGATGGAGGAGTAACATTCACCTGATGAAGGAGTAACATTCACCTGATGGAGGAGTAACATTCACCTGATGAAGGAGTAACATTCACCTGATGGAGGAGTAACATTCACCTGATGGAGGAGTAACATTCACCTGATGGAGGAGTAACATTGACCTGATGAAGGAGTAACATTCACCTGATGAAGGAGTAACATTCACCTGATGAAGGAGTAACATTCACCTGATGGAGGAGTAACATTCACCTGATGGAGGAGTAACATTCACCTGATGGAGGAGTAACATTCACCTGATGGAGGAGTAACATTCACCTGATGAAGGAGTAACATTCACCTGATGAAGGAGTAACATTCACCTGATGGAGGAGTAACATTCACCTGATGGAGGAGTAACATTCACCTGATGGAGGAGTAACATTCACCTGATGGAGGAGTAACATTCACTTGATGAAGGAGTAACATTGACCTGATGAAGGAGTAACATTCACCTGATGAAGGAGTAACATTCACCTGATGAAGGAGTAACATTGACCTGATGGAGGAGTAACATTCACCTGATGGAGGAGTAACATTCACCTGATGGAGGAGTAACATTCACCTGATGAAGGAGTAACATTCACCTGATGAAGGAGTAACATTCACCTGATGAAGGAGTAACATTCACCTGATGAAGGAGTAACATTCACCTGATGGAGGAGTAACATTCACCTGATGGAGGAGTAACATTCACCTGATGGAGGAGTAACATTCACCTGATGAAGGAGTAACATTCACCTGATGAAGGAGTTACATTCACCTGATGAAGGAGTAACATTCACCTGATGGAGGAGTAACATTCACCTGATGGAGGAGTAACGTTCACCTGATGAAGGAGTAACATTCACCTGATGAAGGAGTAACATTCACCTGATGAAGGAGTAACATTCACCTGATGAAGGAGTAACATTCACCTGATGAAGGAGTAACATTCACCTGATGAAGGAGTTACATTCACCTGATGAAGGAGTAACATTCACCTGATGGAGGAGTAACGTTCACCTGATGAAGGAGTAACATTCACCTGATGAAGGAGTAACATTCACCTGATGAAGGAGTAACATTCACCTGATGGAGGAGTAACATTCACCTGATGAAGGAGTAACATTCACCATAACATTCACCTGATGAAGGAGTAACATTGACCTGATGAAGGAGTAACATTCACCTGATGGAGGAGTAACATTCACCTGATGAAGGAGTAACATTCACCTGATGGAGGAGTAACATTCACCTGATGAAGGAGTAACATTCACCTGATGAAGGAGTAACATTCACCTGATGAAGGAGTAACATTCACCTGATGGAGGAGTAACATTCACCTGATGGAGGAGTAACATTCACCTGATGAAGGAGTAACATTCACCTGATGGAGGAGTAACATTCACCTGATGAAGGAGTAACATTCACCTGATGGAGGAGTAACATTCACCTGATGAAGGAGTAACATTCACCTGATGAAGGAGTAACATTCACCTGATGGAGGAGTAACATTCACCTGATGGAGGAGTAACATTCACCTGATGAAGGAGTAACATTCACCTGATGAAGGAGTAACATTCACCTGATGAAGGAGTAACATTCACCTGATGGAGGAGTAACATTCACCTGATGGAGGAGTAACATTCACCTGATGGAGGAGTAACATTCACCTGATGGAGGAGTAACATTCACCTGATGGAGGAGTAACATTCACCTGATGAAGGAGTAACATTCACCTGATGAAGGAGTTACATTCACCTGATGAAGGAGTTACATTCACCTGATGGAGGAGTAACGTTCACCTGATGGAGGAGTAACGTTCACCTGATGAAGGAGTAACATTCACCTGATGAAGGAGTAACATTCACCTGATGAAGGAGTAACGTTCACCTGATGAAGGAGTAACATTCACCTGATGAAGGAGTAACATTCACCTGATGAAGGAGTTACATTCACCTGATGAAGGAGTAACATTCACCTGATGGAGGAGTAACGTTCACCTGATGAAGGAGTAACATTCACCTGATGAAGGAGTAACATTCACCTGATGAAGGAGTAACATTCACCTGATGGAGGAGTAACATTCACCTGATGAAGGAGTAACATTCACCTGATGAAGGAGTAACATTCACCTGATGGAGGAGTAACATTCACCTGATGAAGGAGTAACATTGACCCTGATGAAGGAGTAACATTCACCTGATGGAGGAGTAACATTCACCTGATGGAGGAGTAACATTCACCTGATGAAGGAGTAACATTCACCTGATGGAGGAGTTACATTCACCTGATGAAGGAGTAACATTCACCTGATGAAGGAGTAACATTCACCTGATGGAGGAGTAACATTCACCTGATGGAGGAGTAACATTCACCTGATGAAGGAGTAACATTCACCTGATGGAGGAGTAACATTCACCTGATGAAGGAGTAACATTCACCTGATGGAGGAGTAACATTCACCTGATGAAGGAGTAACATTCACCTGATGAAGGAGTAACATTCACCCGATGGAGGAGTAACATTCACCTGATGAAGGAGAACATTCACCTGATGAGGGAGTAACATTCACCTGATGGAGGAGTAACATTCACCTGATGAAGGGCAACATTCACCAGCAACATTCACCTGATGAAGGAGTAACATTCACCTGATGGAGGAGTAACATTCACCTGATGAAGGAGTAACATTCACCTGATGAAGGAGTAACATTCACCTGATGAAGGAGTAACATTCACCTGATGAAGGAGTAACATTCACATGATGGAGGAGTAACATGCACCTGATTGAGGAGTAACATTCACCTGATGGAGGAGTAACATTCACCTGATGGAGGAGTAACATTCACTTGATGAAGACGAAACATTGACCTGATGAAGGAGTAACATTCACCTGATGAAGGAGTAACATTCACCTGATGAAGGAGTAACATTCACCTGATGAAGGAGTAACATTCACCTGATGAAGGCGTAACATTCACCTGATGGAGGAGTAACATTCACCTGATGAAGGAGTAACATTCACCTGATGAAGGAGTAACATTGACCTGATGAAGGAGTAACATTCACCTGATGAAGGAGTAACATTCACCTGATGAAGGAGTAACATTCACCTGATGAAGGAGTAACATTCACCTGATGAAGGAGTAACATTCACCTGATGAAGGAGTAACATTCACCTGATGAAGGAGTAACATTCACCTGATGAAGGAGTAACATTGACCTGATGAAGGAGTAACATTCACCTGATGAAGGAGTAACATTCACCTGATGAAGGAGTAACATTCACCTGATGAAGGAGTAACATTGACCTGATGAAGGAGTAACATTGACCTGATGAAGGAGTAACATTCACCTGATGAAGGAGTAACATTCACCTGATGAAGGAGTAACATTCACCTGATGGAGGAGTAACATTCACCTGATGAAGGAGTAACATTGACCTGATGAAGGAGTAACATTGACCTGATGGAGTAGTGACATTCACCTGATGAAGGAGTAACATTCACCTGATGAAGGAGTAACATTCACCTGATGGAGGAGTAACATTCACCTGATGAAGGAGTAACATTCACCTGATGGAGGAGTAACATTCACCTGATGAAGGAGTAACATTCACCTGATGAAGGAGTAACATTCACCTGATGAAGGAGTAACATTCACCTGATGAAGGAGTAACATTCACCATAACATTCACCTGATGAAGGAGTAACATTCACCTGATGAAGGAGTAACATTCACCTGATGAAGGAGTAACATTCACCTGATGAAGGAGTAACATTCACCTGATGGAAGGAGTAACATTCACCTGATGAAGGAGTAACATTCACCTGATGAAGGAGTAACATTCACCTGATGAAGGAGTAACATTCACCTGATGGAGGAGTAACATTCACCTGATGAAGGAGTAACATTCACCTGATGGAGGAGTAACATTCACCTGATGAAGGAGTAACATTCACCTGATGAGGAGTAACATTCACCTGATGAAAGTAACATTCACCTGATGAAGGAGTAACATTCACCTGATGGAGGAGTAACATTCACCTGATGAAGGAGTAACATTCACCTGATGAGGAGGACCTGATAGCATTCACCTGATGAAGGAGTAACATTCACCTGATGAAGGAGTAACATTCACCTGATGAAGGAGTAACATTCACCTGATGAAGGAGTAACATTCACCTGATGGAGGAGTAACATTCACCTGATGAAGGGCAACAGACCTGATGAAGGAGTAACATTCACCTGATGAAGGAGTAACATTCACCTGATGGAGGAGTAACATTCACCTGATGAAGGAGTAACGTTCACCTGATGAAGGAGTAACATTCACCTGATGAAGGAGTAACATTCACCTGATGGAGGAGTAACATTCACCTGATGGAGGAGTAACATTCACCTGATGAAGGAGTAACATTCACCTGATGGAGGAGTAACATTCACCTGATGAAGGAGTAGGAATATACTTCGAAATGTCGTGTCCATCACAATAAAGAAGTTGACATCCATAAAAGTCTTGCCTTTGTGTGTGTCACTTCTAAATGCCTTTCAAAGACTCCAATCACATAATGTACCAGGACGTTTCTGACTGTGAAAGGTTTAGAGCTCGTGCCGCAATGCACTACCTTCTTTCAAACGTCCAACATGCCAATTGCACGTGGCGGCTCATGACGTGGCAGGATGTCAAAAACCGTTTGAATTCAAAATAACATTAGAACAAATATGCGTCTGGTTTTATCACAGACATTTACACTAACCCGTTTCACTGTACATTTAGAATATTACCCCGTCAGTATTCCCATGCACATCATCGAAAACGCTTGCCCGAACCAGGCGTGTTTGAGGGAAATTCTAAACACGTTGTGGATGAAATGATCATTTTCTAAATCCATATACAAGCATACAACTTGGTTCCCAAATAACATCAAATTGGAATATTCCTTAATCAATTTAATAAAATATGACACTCTTCACAAGAGTGAATACGTACATCTAACATTTCCCGCCACTGGCTTGTGTTTCCTTCCATCAAAGAGGTATCATGACCCAGTCCGGCATTGTTAATACAGACGTCAACTCCTCCAAGGTCAGGGTCAGATTTGATGTTTTGGAACATTGCCAAGATGTCCTCCTCCTGTGTGACGTCACATTTCATTGGTTTGAGTGATCCTGGTTCGTCTTTCAGCTCGTCTGCGATTTTCTACAAAGCGAATATAAATTTATATATAAAATAACATGTCTTTCTAGTTGATGTTCATATGGGGCGGTGGGGTAGCCTAGTGGTTAAAGCGTTGGTTTGCCACGTCGAAGACCCGGGTTCGATTCCCGACATGGGTACAATGTGCGAAGCCCATTTCTGTCGTCCCCCCGCCGTGATATTGCTGGAAAATTGCTAAAAAAACCGCGTTCACTCACTCACTCACTGACTGATATTTAAGGGGGTACATGATGCCGGTTATATACAGTAACACCGGTAGGCATAAAGTAGTCGCAGTGCTTATGTCGAGCAGCTGTGTCAAGTGTTATGCTTTTCATACATCTCTCATAAATTCAGCCTTTGACATGCCGTCAACACAGTCAGACTATATCACACCGTTAACGTTAACTTTGTAAGAGGCATGGCTATAAATAACAGCAAGAGAGGTAGCTGATAACATAATGTAGAAATGGACGTGAGAGGTCAATCTAGAATATCACCTGAATTCGCTCTACATTGCGGGCACATCCCACAACTTTCATCCCACTCTTGACCAGAGATCGGCTGATTGCTGCTCCGATCCCTGCCGAAGCTCCAGTCACCAGGGCAACACGACCTGTCCATCGTTCCATCTCTGCTGAAACGAGGTGAATGTCCCCCAAATACTTACAACAATACGTACTCCAGCCTTATCAGCCAATAGTGACACAAAGACGTGTTGTGGCAAGTACTCCAGATATCAGGTCGGTAGGCGATCGTGCATTTCAAGTGGATGCGAATATAATAAGGACATTCGCTCCTTTATTATATAAACCAAAAGCTACCGAAGGCATGGAAAGATATACTTTGAATCATGAACGCAAAGACGAAACAGGACTGATAACGTCTTGCACAACAGGGGCGGTGGGGTAGCCTAGTGGTTAAAGCGTTCGCTCGTCACGCCGTAGAATCGGGTTCGATTCCCCATATAGGTACAATGTGTGAAGCCCATTTCTGGTGTCCCCCGACGTGATATTGCTGGAATATTACTAAAAGCGGCGTAAAACCCAACTCACTCACTCACTCTGGCACAACAACAACATGGCAGTGTCGATATCAAACTAGCGCCTACCTATGCACTAGGCCAGTACAAGCTCCACTTCAGACTGCTATACTCCCTGTAACTCGTGGTCTGTGTATCAGACGAAGTGAAGGTGATTCTCATTTCAGCAGTATCATAGCACCCTGGTCAAGATTACGTGGTGATTCTCATTTCAGCAGTATCATAGCACCTCGGCCAAGTTTAGGTGAAGGTGATTCTCATTTCAGCAGTATCATGGCACCCTGGTCAAGTTTACGTGAAGGTGATTCACATTTCAGCAGTATCATAGCACCCTGGTCAAGATTACGTGAAGGTGATTCTCATTTCAGCAGTATCATAGCACCCTGGCCAAGTTTACGTGAAGGTGATTCACATTTCAGCAGTATCATAGCACCCTGGTCAAGATTACGTGGTGATTCTCATTTCAGTAGTATCATGGCACCCTGGTCAAGTTTACGTGAAGGTGATTCTCATTTCAGTAGTATCATAGCACCCTGGTCAAGTTTACGTGAAGATGATTCACATTTCAGTAGTATCATAGCACCCTGGTCAAGTTTAGGTGAAGGTGATTCTCATTTCAGCAGTATCATAGCACCCTGGTCAAGTTTACGTGAAGGTGATTCACATTTCAGCAGTATCATAGCACCCTGGTCAAGTTTACGTGAAGGTGATTCTCATTTCAGTAGTATCATGGCACCCTGGTCAAGTTTACGTGAAGGTGATTCACATTTCAGTAGTATCATAGCACCCTGGTCAAGTTTACGTGAAGGTGATTCACATTTCAGTAGTATCATAGCACCCTGGTCAAGTTTACGTGAAGGTGATTCTCATTTCAGCAGTATCATAGCACCCTGGTCAAGTTTACGTGAAGGTGATTCACATTTCAGCAGTATCATAGCACCCTGGTCAAGTTTACGTGAAGGTGATTCTCATTTCAGTAGTATCATGGCACCCTGGTCAAGTTTACGTGAAGGTGATTCACATTTCAGTAGTATCATAGCACCCTGGTCAAGTTTACGTGAAGGTGATTCACATTTCAGTAGTATCATAGCACCCTGGTCAAGTTTAGGTGAAGGTGATTCTCATTTCAGCAGTATCATAGCACCCTGGTCAAGTTTACGTGAAGGTGATTCACATTTCAGTAGTATCATAGCACCCTGGTCAAGTTTACGTGAAGGTGATTCTCATTTCAGTAGTATCATGGCACCCTGGTCAAGTTTACGTGAAGGTGATTCACATTTCAGTAGTATCATAGCACCCTGGTCAAGTTTACGTGAAGGTGATTCACATTTCAGTAGTATCATAGCACCCTGGTCAAGTTTACGTGAAGGTGATTCTCATTTCAGCAGTATCATGGCACCCTGGTCAAGTTTACGTGAAGATGATTCACATTTCAGTAGTATCATAGCACCCTGGTCAAGTTTACGTGAAGGTGATTCTCATTTCAGCAGTATCATAGCACCCTGGTCAAGTTTACGTGAAGGTGATTCTCATTTCAGTAGTATCATTGCACCCTGGTCAAGTTTACGTGAAGGTGATTCTCATTTCAGTAGTATCATAGCACCCTGGTCAAGTTTACGTGAAGGTGATTCACATTTCAGTAGTATCATAGCACCCTGGTCAAGTTTACGTGAAGGTGATTCACATTTCAGTAGTATCATAGCACCCTGGTCAAGTTTAGGTGAAGGTGATTCTCGTTTCAGTAGTATCATAGCACCCTGGTCAAGTTTACGTGAAGGTGATTCTCATTTCAGTAGTATCATAGCACCCTGGTCAAGTTTACGTGAAGATGATTCACATTTCAGTAGTATCATAGCACCCTGGTCAAGTTTACGTGAAGGTGATTCACATGTCAGCAGTATCATAGCACCCTGGTATCAAGTTTAGGTGAAGGTGATTCTCATTTCAGTAGTATCATGGCACCCTGGTCAAGTTTACGTGAAGGTGATTCACATTTCAGCAGTATCATAGCACCCTGGTCAAGTTTACGTGAAGGTGATCCACATTTCAGTAGTATCATAGCACCCTGGTCAAGTTTACGTGAAGGTGATTCACATTTCAGCAGTATCATAGCACCCTGGTCAAGTTTTCGTGAAGGTGATTCACATTTCAGTAGTATCATAGCACCCTGGTCAAGTTTACGTGAAGGTGATTCACATTTCAGCAGTATCATAGCACCCTGGTCAAGTTTACGTGAAGGTGATTCACATTTCAGCAGTATCATAGCACCCTGGTCAAGTTTACGTGAAGGTGATTCACATTTCAGCAGTATCATAGCACCCTGGTCAAGTTTACGTGAAGGTGATTCACATTTCAGTAGTATCATAGCACCCTGGTCAAGTTTACGTGAAGGTGATTCACATTTCAGCAGTATCATATCACCCTGGCCAGGTTCACTTGGGAATGGATCCCTTGAATTGGGAGATGGAGGAAAGAACTTGACCAATGTGTGTGAATGATGGCATGGAATGTTTAGAATTACCTATGTGCTCTCTTATTTGTTTTATTTGTGTAGATTGTTTTTCTCAAGATGAGACTCAAATCGTCTTTCTGCCTGAGGACAGTAAAACCCTCAAGTGTGACAAGCGACAAGGTGCAATATATAATAAATCTGACAAAAATTTCTTACGCTGCAAAATTGCCCTTTCAACAATTGGTTTTGTAACACGATTGATGAGCAACCTTAAACTGAAGTGCCACCATGTTGATACAAATGGTGCAACGCTATAAATCACATCTCGGGTGAAGGCGACCTTCGGACCTCCTTGTCGACAAACACACTACAAAGCCACGTTCCTTGACGTCAGAATGTGCTCCAGTATCAACTTATTGATATATATCATTCCAAAGTTCTTGTTCCTGTTCATATTTCTGTCGTTTCAACACGTTCTGTAAATATGGTTCTAAGTACCCCTCCACGGCAGTGACACTAGTGTGTCGGGATGAATTTCCTATAAAAAGACAGAAGGGGTTAATAGCAAGGTACAACTATTGTCAACTCTTCACGATGCAAGCTTTGTGTGTAGCTGTGGTAGTCATTGCCGTCTTTGACATCGTCTCTGGGACAACGTAAGTAACTTTCGGAGCAGATCTTCCAGTTACGTTTTATTGAATACCTTTACACCACGTTAATGAGCACTGAAGAATGTGTTGATAACGGTATACTCCTGTGTTAATTCCAGGTCCAAGTGCTTGCTGTACAAGAATATGTCTGGATAGCTGTTCTCGAAACGTTCGTAGCCCTACGAACTTCTTAAGCACATTCTTACGCATTGGCTACGATCAAAGTTCAGAATTCTTAGGGCTACGAATGTTTTGAGAATAAGGGCCAAGGTTGCCGTGCTAATCGAGTACACATACCATTATCCAACTGTTGCATTTAACTGATGCGAGATTATGTTTCAAGAAACAACAACAAACCATATGCCAGAGTATTTCACAAAAGTAGACTCTTCTTCCATTACGGAGAGCCTATAGTTCCAGTACTTCCGGTAGTACAGGAAGCGTTGACAATAGTTGTACCTTGCTATTAAACATCTGTTTGATTTGTCAACAATCCTTGACCTTGCCGCTAACTGGGCGCTTAAGTTGGTTTTGAATTTCGCGTTTTTCAGAAACCTGCCGGATCAAAAGTTCGGTACGTTCAATCTTCAGTGCATTTGTTCGACTAACGGTTCCAAACATAATTCTTTATTGATGTCAATAATATCAATAACATGATTGCTACTCACATCTCGTTTTAAAATATGTCTGTTTCTGTCATTTGTTGAGTTCTTTCTTAAGCACATGAAAAGAAGCATTAAAGTTTATTTCTCTTCATATTTTATAACTTCTACAAAAACTAAACAAGCAGTAACTCTCTGAGTATGATAACAAATGAGTTGTTACCGGGGAGACCTGATGTTCGCAGTGTGGGGCAAATGGTCCACGTGGAGCGAGCGTGTGGGGGAGTGCAGTGTCAGCTGTGGGGGAGGCTCCCAGACTGTGGTGAGGACGAGGAAGTGCCAGGGTGGTCTGATCTGTAAACCCATCAACGCGGGGATACGTATCTACACACAGGCCTGTAACACCGACAGCTGCTCAGGTGAGATGACCGTTAAACACCGGGTGTTCACATTCCCATCATGGTGTTCATGTTGTCGGCGCCACAACTCAGTTCATAGTCAATACTAGGGTTGTAACGATGTATCGAACTATCGATGGATTGCAGTTGCTGAGTCTCCGATACCATAATCGATGGTAGAAACGAAAAACTATCGATGCATCGATAGTATGTGTGACTATCGATAGTTTAGTAATTGACTTCCGTTGATAAATGCGCAGCGCAAAATACAGGATGTTTGGGTGCAGACTTGCAGCTTCATTGAGTTTATGTTTTAACTGTTTACTTGATCTGGGTTTCAGGTTTCTTGTGAGTTATTCAACGAAACTGAAACTACTTTAACTTGTTTGTATTTCATTTAAACTATACAATCATTTGTACAGATAGGAGCATCTAAGGAGAAAAAAACTTTTGCAATAGTTTTGCAATTGTTTGCCACAATAGACTATCGCTATCGCAATTATATAGTTATTTCTAGGGCTGCGCAATATAACCGGTTTACCGGTATTTACCGGTTCAGACATGAAAACGATACTTATTGCGATACGCTGATCAAAATCCGGTATTTTGACATCATTTCGGAAAACTTTGTAGCACTCGGATATTTCCGATTTTTAAATTGTTCTTTTCCTTGTTTCGTTTGTGCCAAATATTATTTACATTTTTATTTTGTCATAATTATAAGTTTTTATCAAATTTAGTCAAGCATAGTGATTTTGTTGTGTTTTTGCTTTATAAATCAAGCATTATCTCGATTATAAGTAGTTTTTTGTTATAAAAACCTTCTTACAACATATTGCAATACATTATCGCAATATATGCTTTCGCATCGCAATATATCGTAATATGAAAATTCTATGCAATGCCCACCTCCAGTTATTTCCCCCGCATCGTCAACCCTAGCCAATACGGCGCCCTCGACATTATATCTGTGAGGCTTCATGTGTGAGGGGTGTTGTGTCACACGTTGTTAACTGCAGGTGAAATAGTGCTTGTCCGGAAAATTGATACCTGCTGTGCCTAATTCACAGTAGTGAAAGGTTGATAGTAGTGTTACATATCTCCTGTTTCTATGCCTCTCAGTGGATGGAGGATGGTCTGCTTGGGGTGAATGGACCGACAATGACGGCGAGGAGTGCTCAGTGTATTGCGGAGGGGGCAAGGTCAGGCAGTCGCGAGAGAGGTCATGTGACAACCCAGAACCTCAGAATGGCGGTGCTGACTGTGAAGGAGAGAGTGTGGAGAAACGAATAGCCAACTGTAACACACAAGGATGTGGAGGTGAGGTTCCTGTTCACAATTTGCTGTCACTAAGAATGATTTGTTTGAGTGGCATTCTAGAAGTTGGTGGTATAGGAATGACAAGACTGTATGGATGATCAACTTCATTATTTTGACAATGGCGACGTTTCGGTATAGATTCTTATATCGTTTTCAAGCATATATGGGGAATGAAGGGGCACACCAGTTTATATACAAGATAAGATAAAGAGATAACAATAACAAGGGTCTAGAAACAAAGCATCAAAGAAAGTTACATGATGAGCTACAATAGCATGATGATGAGCAGCATATTCCTTCTTGTTTGTCCGCTGTACTCAGACCTTAGAAGAAAATATTTACCAAATCATTTTTGTAGATATCCAAGCGTTATTAAATGTAACATCAGTACTAACAAGTACAAACATTTTAATACTTCAGAACTTAGTAATGTTTATATTCCATGCAACATTACAGAAAAAGTCGAACAATAATATGTGAAAAAAATGTAAAAGTTACTTCTCGGGCGAATATAAATGTTTATCTTACCTCATACATAAACGTCGCTTTCTGATTGGCTGAGCGCTCTTCTGTTATTTTCAATGTACCCCGCTTACAAGCGAGTAACATTTCAATGTACCCCGCTGTCAGTGGCAACTCATTCTGTACATCGTGGTAGTAATTCTTTATCTCGAATAACATTGAATCACGTATAATGTACGGAAATTACCGATGTTTTGCGAATGCAAATCAATGGAAGGGAGATAACTCTAAACAAACTTTCTTGTCAGCAAAATCTAGCGATGGCTACAAAAACAGTTGTACCCGTCCTTCAAACAATTCAGAATTAACTCTAATTTGTTCGGTAGGATAAATACGTTGTTCACTGCTCCCTCGGGGCCCATTGGTTGATGTAACCTCGATGTTTGTTTATGTTCCCCTCGCCAACATCGAGGGTACATCAACCCATGACCCCCCTCGTGACCAGTGTATGTTTTATGTACTATAGGCCTGTGGCCTCTTCAGTACGGAATAAAGGTTGATTGATGATGAGCTAAGATAACATAAATGAGATGAGTGAGATAACACTAACAACACTATCCAAACCTCTGTCTACTGGAAACCCTCGCACACTGACCAGTACATCCATTGTGAATCTAACCACTCTCTCAGAACTAAACCCGGCATTATCTCCACTCTTACCCGCCGAGCACTCAACCTACCCTCTGTCACCCCTGAACCTAAACTTAAACACCTCCGGCATGTCTTCACCCAACTATCCCACTAAACTTGTTGACCGTGTCATTAACTCCATCCTCAACCCAACACCCAAACCCACCACTAGCAAGCCCGACCCCGCTCCCATTCGCATCTCAGTACCCTACATCGGCAAAACTTCACATCACATCAGTCGCTTACTTAAACAACAAGCAGGCATAGACACTTACTTTTCCACGGCCACACATCAGCTGCGACTGTGGCAGCAGCTACATTGGTGAAACATCCAGACCACTCAACATACGCACCAAAGAACATGAGACATCCACAAACAATGCAGACAACAAATCAGCCATTTCAGAACACATCACCATATTTCCTCAACACAATATCAACTGGGACACTGTCAAACACTTACAAACAACAAACATGATTACACTCAGCGCACATTGGCCTAGGCATTACTAATACGCTGTTTTAACCCCTCTATTAACAGGGATCAGGGCTATTACATCCCATCAGCTTACAACCACCTAATCGACACGTAAATATCTCCCCTTCTCAACACACAAACCCCCAACACACACACACACACACAAACAAACAGACAGACAACCACCACCACCTTGGCTTCTACCCAATTAACTTACATTCACTGATTTTCATGGTATCCCACTCATCTTATCTTAGCTCATCATCATGCTATTGTAGCTCATCATGTAACTTTCTTGGATGCTTTGTTTTTCCACCCTTGTTATTATTATCTCTTTATCTTATCTTGTATATAAACTGGTGTATCCCTTCATTCCCCCATCCCCGTCGGCGACATTGGCTACAGCCAGAAGCCGACGTTAAACCTGAAATGATCATCATCATTCCCCCATGCTTGATAACGGTATAAGAATCTGTACCGAAACGTCGCCATTGTCAAAATATAGAAGTTGATCATCCATGACGTCTTATCATCCCTGTCACGAAGAAGCCAGTGGACAGTGAACAGTAAGCAAGTATACATGTATGCAGATGGGCGTGTATACATATATGCAAATTGTATTATAATGTATGAAACTGTATGTATATGGGCCCGTTGGCCTTTGTACGGAAATAAAGTTTTGATTGATAATGACCGATGTGTGAGGCATGTGTTTTGTGTTACAGATTATTGCCCAGACAGGCAAGTGAAGTTCTTCCCCCATCCTACCAACAGAGGTCGGTACTACCAGTGTGGGAACTACATTGCTTACCTCATGAAGTGTCCCAAAGGCCTCGTCTGGGATGACAGCATCTGGACGTGCAACTTTGACAACTGAGACGTCCCGCTAACTTGATGTCACATGCACATGTACAGTCCTAATAAAGCAGAGTTATCAAAGTAAAAATCGTTTTATGTTTTATGTGCTCCTGCCCAATAGTACTCGTCTGAGGTCCATCGGGAGATCTGAAGTAGTGGTGACACATAGTCATCGCTTTGGCTGACTCATGAAAATAGTAATAAGTGTTTCACATTTGTCCTTGTTTAGTGTTTTGTGTATTTAGCAAGAAAGATATTCATAGACAGGTTCAGGTTTCAAATCCAATTCAACATTTCGACGAACCCGATTCCTGCACATGCTTAAACGATGATTTTATTCATTGACAGACGGCTTTGCGCCTGATGAACAAGTATGAATATATGCCACATGTACATTGCAACAAAATCAAAGTTCTGTATGAAAGCACCATATTGTCGATAGTCACACTAGGTGTTTTGCTAGAAGTCACCTCAGAATAACGTCGGTGATGATGGCATCCAATACCTGCTCACACTAGCTAGGCAGCACCTGTGTGATTGAAGCTTTCAAGTGCACACAACCTTGCCTCCGTTTGTACATACAGAGAACAAACATACATATTAGTGTCATTCCTCAGTTAATTACAGGTATACTCCGTTGATAGATGAGTCCAGGCCTTTGGACTGCTGAGTTTCTAGATGAGTCTAAGATTTTGGTCTGTAGTAGGTTTGCCCAGTCTTTAAGTGACTGCTAGCTCGCCAACTTGCTCAGAAACGATACACCATCGACATGCTATCACTGGAGGAAACAAATGTAGTTTTCTTATTTGGCTGGTCATCTTCTTGGTGTGTTCACGTGAAGGTTGGAGAGTGTGTGTTCCAAAGCCAGAACATTGTCAGTAGTCATACTGTCACTAGGTTTAAAGGAAAGTTGCACTCAGCTGGCAGTTCGTGTCTGCCATATCCTGTGTTGAATCTCAAACCCTCTTGTCAAACCTCAATCACCTCACTGTAGAACATCACTCCCTCCTGTAGAACATCACTCCCTCCTGTAGAACATCACTCCCTCTGGTCAAATTTCACACTGTAAAGTCAAACCTCTCACAATCCTGTCAAACCTATCTTTACGAGACAACCGAGTGACCTGACTACAAATATCCAGTTTCCATACTACCCAAGCTTGGCTGCAAATAGGTACGAGGAGGTAAGCCTGGATGACACTTGACCACAACCTCGGATGGGGATGGCTTCTTGTTGTTTACAGACCGACATGACGACCAAATTCTGGCTGCAATATAACAACTATTTATGTACAAGCCAGCAGTCACAATATGATCTTTTTGTTACAATTTCCCCAATGTGAAATGATGGACATGTATGTTTTGTGGTATCACCAAACAATATAAATACACTTTGTCGGCATTATATTTAAGATGCCATTTACAAGAGTGTTTCAGTGGCAGTACCTTTATGAAATCCAAATTGATATTTGTGCTATTCTTTCTAAGATGACTCACTGAAATAATTTGCTGAAAATACGGGTTAAAGTTATTCCCCGGTAATTTGAAGTATCGCATGTGCTTTTACCTCCACCTTTAAGAGTTCATTAACAATACCATCAGGTCCAGGTGACTTGCCGTTCTTAAGTCGCCGAATAGTGCATAATAGTTCATCAAATGTAAGAGGACATTGAAGCAGTGTAGAAGCATCATCACAAATATCATGAGTATTCTCAAGTTGAGATACATAGTAATTTACATAGTCAGTAAAGTCTAATTAACATCTGCGCATGGTAGTGAGAGGTCTCTGAAATATTTAGCAAATAGATCACAAATACCTTCTTGAGTATCACAAGATGTGTTTTCGTAAGTGAGAACCTGAGTATATTCCTTTTTACGTTGGTATATTTTGGTAGATTTAAAGTACTCTTGTATACCTAGTTCAGAGGTATCATAAATTCTTTTGAATTTAAGATCATCCTCATATTTCTTTGATGGACGATGTCGTTTTCTTAAAATACGTTTTGCTTCTTAAAACGCATTGTAGTAACTATTCCCTTTATCATGGATTTTACCATTGCGCATCCATTCATTGTTACATTTTCTCATTGTATTATGTAGACTTTTCAAAGTATGTTTTGTCCAATATGTCTGTAGCAAGCCATCAGTTTGTCAACGTCTCCGCTTCCAGCTAAACCAACATGTGCTGGAATCCAGACAGTATCGCTGCTGATGTACATGTAGTTTAGAACAGTATCACGATACAAGATGTCATATAATATGTCTGCAAGCCATCTTAACAAGTTTGTCACCTTCTTCGTGTCCAGCTAAAGCAACATGTGCTGGAATGCAAACAATATCACAACTTTTATCTAAGATTGGACCCTAATATTAAATTCAGAAACGAATGTTATGTCATGACCACCAATGTCTGTCTACAGATTTGGAGGAGCTTTACATCTGGTGAAGAATATTGCGACTGATTTAGAAGTTGATACCTTGAACCCCCACTTTGACCACCAAGGATCTACAGAATGTAGAGTTAATTGAATAGATCTGAGAACAAAGTCAATATTTCCGAAACGTCTCCAACATGTACCATCATCTGCAAATTGTAATGCATCAATGTTTAATGGAAGTTCAGGTAAAGGTTGCATTGAAGATTCTGAGATTATAGGAATAATTTCATTCTTCAAATTTGTGATTTCGTTTTTAAATATTGTTGCAAAAACTCCATAACTGTAACATCCTGAAACTGATCTGCTAAAAATCTCTCTTCACGGGAAACAACCCTTTGATCCAAGACAGGAAAGGGGGATCTGTTACGGTTCCCAGTAATCCCTTTTACTTTGGTCCAACTTCAGGAAGGAGAAGTATGCCTGTTCATTGTTCCAGCAAGACGTTAGAATTCATAAATACTGGGAAATTCGAGCATTTGGTTGTCCGGATGTTTAACCAATAGCTTTTTCTGAGATTTAGGTCAGAGAAAAAGTTAGATTACCATTTGAACTTTTAATGTCGTCTCTAGCAAATCACATGTTATTTCAGTTGAACAAAGTTCAACAAATTTATGCCAGTTAGCAGAGAAAATTCCACTTGCAGGGTTTAAACGATATTTCATTGAAAACTAGAAAGTGATCACTTCCCAAACTGTCATCTTGAAAACACCAGCAGCTGTAACAAGTTATGTCCTTTCTACGTCCCTTATATTACTTGCATTTGCTTGGAACAAAATTGCGGCGCCGGAAGATGATCTGATCGATAATCAAGATCTATATAGTAATAAAACGTGTCTACCTAGTGAGGTGCAACTTATTTGAATACCTTGACTAAACTCCTGACGTTTGGAAAATATGTCGACGTAGAGAAGACGGTTAACGTGCTTTATAAATCCTGCAATATACCGAAATCAGCAGCACAGTTCAGTTCCATTTGATTGTGCAACTTTGCCTGGACTATGCTTAGATTCGTTAGTCAAGCCAAAACGCCGATATCCTATCTGGTTAACACTTTCAAATAATTTGTTAGTCAATAAATCAGGATATTATTGCAATCAATAATATTCTCAAAAACTGTGCTGATTAATTCTCAAGATCAAGTTAAATTTGATTTATTCCAAACCAAACAACATACGCCCCAGGTGACACTTTGAACATACGCACACAGGTTTCTTTTTATTTCATTGAATATTATTGGAGAGCATTTTTGTGATTATTCAAACAAAACGATATGCTCACTTCAGTCCTTTCCCTGGTACAACGATATCAATAAGAAATGACTTAATCGAGTATCACACCACCCCCTGATCGTTCCCACAGAACCCCCGGACTGTGATCGACAAGCAACGTGTTGAAAAGTGGGTCACGAAGTACAACAATCTTGACGAAATTAATTAAAATTAATCTCCAATGCACCTGCTTTCGTCTCAAAACGATCTGTAAACGTGTTTCTGAGTGCCAAACTACGACAGAAGAAGCACATTATGAAGTTTAAAGTGTGGATGAATTTCCTATAAAAGACAGCACAGGTTAGTGGACTGGCACAACTGTCCACAACTGTTCACAATGCAGATGCTGTGTGTTGCTGTGGTAGCCGTTGCCGTCCTTGGCGTCGTCTCTGGGTCAACGTAAGTAGCGTCCGCCACTAATGTTATACTGAATGCTTCAGCACCATATTTACCAATATTTACCAAGACCGAGCGTGTAATGCTGTAGTACTTGTTGCTATAGATTTAAGCAGCCTTCACAGAACGATATGGTCCAAATCCTGCGCAATGTTTGCTTGCTTGTTTAACGCCGCACCCAGCAATATTCCAGTTATGTGACGGCGCTCAGTAGCTGTCTCCTCTTACGATAATCACGGGTTCCTGAAGATCAATTTCTACGATGATCTTCATTGGTAGCTAGTCCCGTACTTGCTGCATTGTGGAAATAATCATGTGGGTCACTTTATACATTGCTGTTATGTACTGCCATTCGACTGAGCTCCAAGATGTACATGTCACTGGTACCTTAACATCCCAATACAATACTGTCACTCATCAGTGAGTACAATGTGCCAATGCCCCAATACAACATATTGAAATGCAATCGTTTGTCCAACTGGGAACAAAATCAATTCAACAATCGAATAAGTATATTGTTACTACGTTTCCAACCTTAGAATACAGGAATCTTCCAACGTTCCAAGAATAATTCTATTGCATCACTGTCTTGACCTTGTATCATTTACTGCAACATTGTTGCCTTTCAATTTCGCCATTTTCAGAATCTCGCCTGACCCAAACTTCGGTATGTTCAATTTCCAGTGCCTTTACTCACAGAACTGTTCCACACAATAAACCATAATATTATGTAAATCTGTATATTGTGTCGATAGTTATGGTTAATATAATTACTTCTGTGTAGATGCCAGATAATTCCTTTGCTAGCAACATTTCAGGAGTACATTAAATGAAGCATTATAACTTATCCCTCAGTTTTTAATGATATATTCATAACTTCTATAAAAAGCAAACAAGCAGTAACTCTCTGAGTATGATTACACATGAGTTGTTACCTGGAAGACCTGATATTCGCAGTGTGGGGCAAATGGTCCACGTGGAGCGAGCGTGTGGGGGAGTGCAGTGTCAGCTGTGGGGGAGGCTCCCAGACTGTGGTGAGGACGAGGAAGTGCCAGGGTGGTCTGATCTGTAGGCCCATCAACGGGGGAAAAGAGGAGTACACACAGGCCTGTAACACCAACAGCTGTTCAGGTGAGATCATCGTTAAACACCGGGTGTTCACATTCCCATCATGGTGTTGTCGACACCACAACTCAGTTCATAGCCAATACGGTGTCCACCACGTTATATCTCTGAGGCTACACGTGTAACAGTTGTTGTGTCATATGAGGCCACACGTTGTACCTGCAGGTGAAATAGTGCTTGTCTGGAATAGTGATACATGTTGCGAGGTAATATACGAGGGAAGTTCAAAAAGTAGTCAGCCTCACCTAGAAAAAAAAGATACAAAGATATTATATTATCTGTCAACCTTAATCAAATTGGTTTTGCTATGTTCCAGGCTCACGATCCCCATTTTGTTTGACGTTTTATCTTGGTACCCCCCAAAAACGCAAAATCTCCAGTAAATGCATCACAAACTTCAGGAAACAAAATATGCAAGAAACATTTTGAGTGTTTTGGGGATTGGTAGAAGTCCGCTAGAATCAAGCTTAGATATTAAAGTGCATGAAAAGCAATTTGAAACTACAATCGCTTGTTAAAATGCAATTTGAAACTACAATCGCTTGTTTAAGTGACCCCCCCCTTCATGTTTACTGAAAGAGCTTGTTTTGGAGACACTACCCATCCCCCTTTCATGAGAACATAACTTATTCTAATGTTTTCACTTATTCATACATGATACCAAGGGTTACTACTAAATAATGAATGGTCACACAAGAGTCATCTATCAAAATATTGTAAACAGTGCCAGCTTGAATACTTGAATATCTGGACACAATGTTTTTGAAAGATTAAAATGGGGGTGTCCTTAATAAACAGCCCCTGTCTAAATATAAATCAAGCAATCAAAATCTTTGAATGTGGGTAGTCATCCAATACTATACAGAACATATTTTATATGATATTATCTGAGGCCATTCCATTATCCATGAGGTACCAAATGGCAGATCGTTTTTCATTTTCTGCAATCTGTTACAGAAATATTATACCCCAATATGATGTCATGACTAATATCTCGTTAATCACATTACCCACATATGGGAAATTTTGTGCTAGTGATTCCTTCAAAATAAAATGGATACTATGAAAGATTAAAATCAGGGTGTCCTTAAAAAAACAGCCCCTGTCTTAATATAAATCAAGCAATCCAAATCTTTAACTGTTGATTATGACGGGTAGTCATCCAATACTATACAGAACATATTTTATAAGACATTATTTGAGGGGATACCATTATCCAAGAGGTACTAAATGACAGATATATTACACCCAATGTGTTGTGATGACTAATATATCGATCTCAATACCCACATATGTGAAACTTAGGATGTGACTTTTCTAATAATTCCATTAAAATAAAATGGAAGCTTTTCAAACATTGGACATCGAGAATAGAGTTAGGTTGACTACCTTTAAAATGACCCTCTTATGCTGTACATAAATCACAGTAGTGAAAGGTTGATAGTAGTGTTACATATCCCCTGTTTCTAGGCTTCGCAGTGGATGGAGGATGGTCTCCTTGGGTTAGATGGACCGCCAATGACGGCGAGGAGTGCTCAGCGTATTGTGGAGGGGGCAAGATCAGGCAGTCCCGACAGAGGTCATGTGACAACCCAAAACCTCAGAATGGCGGTGCTGACTGTGAAGGAGAGAGTGTGGAGAAACGAGTTACCAACTGTAACAATCAAGGATGTGGAGGTGAGGTTCCTGTTGACAATTTGCTGTCATTTAGAAGCCAGTGGACAGAAAATAGTACGTTCTTGCTGTGGTAATGACCAATGTGTGAAGTACGTGTTTTGTGTTACAGGTTATTGCCCAAACAGACAAGTGAAGTTCTTCCCCCATCCTACCAACAGAGGTCGGTACTACCAGTGTGGGAACTACATTGCTTACCTCATGAGGTGTCCCAAAGGTCTGGTCTGGGATGACAGGATCTGGACGTGCAACTTTGACAACTGAGACGTCCCGCTAACTTGATGTCACATGCACATGTACATTCATAATAAAGCAGAGTTTTCAAAGTAAAAATCGTTTTATGTTTCCTATTTACCACAGGACATATGATAATATGTTTAGTATAGGGTCTCTGTATTTACGGAGTGAGTCACGGATGACAAACTGACTCCAGCATGTGGGTGTTTCACGTGGTGCTCCTGCCCTATACGTACTAGTCTTAGGTCCATCGGGAGATCTGAAGTAGTGGTGACACATAGTCATCGCTTTGGCTGACTCATGAAAATAGTAATAAGTGTTTCACATTTGACCTTGTTTAGTGTTTTGTGTATTGAACAAGAAAGATATTCACAGACAAGTTCAGGTTTCGACTTGAAAAAAAAAAAAAAAAAAAAAAAAAAAAAAGGGTTCAGGTTTCGAATCCAATTCAACATTTCACCACCAACCCGATTCCTGCACATGCTTAAACGATGATTTTATTCTTTGACAGATGGATTTGTGCTTAATGAGCAAGTATGAATATATGCCACATGTACATTGCAAGTAAAACTAGGTTCTGTATGAAAGATTGTATGAGACTGGTTTTGTTAAGCACCACCTTGTCGATAGTCACACTAGGTGTTTTGCTGGATGTCATCTCGGAACGACTTCTGAGATGATGGCATCCAATACCTGCTCACACTAGCCAGGCAGCACCTGTGTGTTTGAAGCCAACCAGTGCACACAGCCTTACCTCATCTCCGTGTGTCATTCCCTAATTACCCACACCTGGGATATTGCGGTGATTGCAGCGTTGGGGATGTCACATGTCCCCAAACACAATATGTATTGCCATGAGCCAACAACGGTACCATGAGCTATATTGTTTCAATTTTCGCTTGGCCCGGTTTTCACGAATCATACGAGCTCCCAATGCATTGCGGTGTTCAAACCGGTTTCCTAAACCTGATCCCCGATCTTCCACTTCTACTCATCGTCTACCTGGTCTGCACAATCTATACCGTATACAAACTACCAATCACCCGTGTACCTGCTAGAGACACACTTATCAGTCCACCACTATGCGCTTACAAAACTAAGGCATCCTTGATATATATTTCCGTGACAATCACCAATTTCTTAATCGCCATCGATTGAAAAATGACAGAGACACGAGATGACGTCATATCAAACAATATTGCGTCACGTTTTCCGGGTCAGGTGACCGACTTGAGTAGTGACTGGCCGGTCTGATAGCCAGATTCTACTATTCATTATTATATGTTTAAAGCAATGACTTTGTTAGTCAATATTGTCGCGTTTGTTTTGGAAAGTATACAATAAGACTCAAAGATATGACAGTTATTAACTTGCAACCAGAGCAAGAGAACAGACGGCATTACTGGTGCACGTTTCAGAACAGACAACACAAGACAGGGATTCAGAAGAATCTGACGTGCTCTCAATATGGCAGAACAAGAGAAGATTTTACAGAGGGCATTACTTGAGCACCTTTCAGAATGACAACACCAGGCAGTCATTAAGAAGACTCTCGTGTGATATGATAGAACTTTACTGGTTTAATGGTATTCTTTCTGTTCAGCAACCTGTACATAATCTAATCATAATTGAATCTGAGCAAGGCAGAAGAGAAGATCACAGCATGAACGACTATAAGCTAAATTTACTGTACTGTGTGCGTCCATGCGTGCGAGTGCATCTGTTTGTTTGAGTGTATGTGCGCGCGAGTTTTTTGTATTTATATGAATATATGATTGTGAGTGAGTGTGAGAGTGTGAGTGTGAGTGTGAGAGTGTGAGTGTGAGTGAGAGTGAGTGTGAGGTTGAGAGTGTGAATGAGTGTGAGAGTGTGAGTGAGAGTGGGTGTGAGGTTGAGAGAGTGAGTGAGTGAGAGTGTGAGTGAGAGTGGGTGTGAGGTTGAGAGAGTGAGTGAGTGTTATTGTGAGAGTGTGAGTGAGAGTTAGTGTGAGGTTGAGAGAGTGAGTGAGTGTGAGAGTGTGAGTGAGAGTGAGGTTGAGAGTGTGAGTGAGAGTGTGAGTGTGAGAGCGTGAGTGAGAGTGAGGTTGAGAGGGTGAGTGAGAGTGTGAGTGTGAGAGTGTGAGTGAGAGTGGGTGTGAGGTTGAGAGCGTGAGTGAGAGTGTGAGTGTGAGAGTGTGAGTGAGAGTGAGTGTGAGGTTGAGAGTGTGAGTGAGAGTGTGAGTGAGAGTGGGTGTGAGGTTGAGAGCGTGAGTGAGAGTGTGAGTGTGAGAGTGTGAGTGAGAGTGAGTGTGAGGTTGAGAGTGTGAGTGAGAGTGTGAGTGAGAGTGTGAGTGAAAGTGGGTGTGAGGTTGAGAGTGTGAGTGAGTGTGAGAGTGTGATTGAGAGTGTGAGTGTGTGTGAGGTTGAGAGTGTGAGTGAGAGTGAGAGTGGGTGTGAGGTTGAGAGTGTGAGTGAGTGTGAGTGTGAGAGCATGAGTGAGAGTGAGTGTGAGGTTGAGAGTGTGAGTGAGTGTAAGAGTGGGTGTGAGCGTGGGTGTGGGTGTGGGTGTGGGTGTGGGTGTGGGTGTGGGTGTTCCGAACCCAGAACATTGTCAGTAGTCAATGCTAGTCATACTGTCACTATGCATGTAAGCAGGTTGTACTCAGCTGGGGATTCGTGTCTGCTTCACATACTGTGGTATATCTCAAACCCTCTTGTCAAACTTCAATCACCTCACTCATTTCTCAAGAACATCATTCCCTCTGTCTAATCTCACACCCATCAGTCAAACCTCTCATACTCCTGTCAAACCCATCTTCACGACACAACGGAGTAACCGACTACAAATATCAAGTTTCAATACCTACCAAGCTTGGCTGGATATTCGTGGCGAGTAAAAACACCTTTTTATGAAGAAGCCAGCATACACAACGTGATCCTTTTTGTGTTACAATTTTCTCTCCAATGTAAAGTGGTGGACATGTATGTTTTTGGATATCACCAGACACTAAAAATACACTTTTGTCAGTATCATATTTAAGATGCAATTTACAAGAGTACTTAAAACACACATTCAGTGCACCATTTATGGTCCCACTGACCCCATGAATCATCTGCTAATAAGATACCTGGCCCATTACCCCATGGGAGACTTAAACCGTGTTGTAATGGTTTACTCCCAGCTGCCATAAGTTCCATTTGTACGACACTGTGTGCTTCCCAGATGTACTACGGTAGGTGGGTAGGGGAAATTAGGTACATCCCTACAGGTGCAGAAGCACAGTCCACTGAGTCCAGTGGCGTGAAAGCTAAACCACCCAGTGTTTTATATATGAAACGCGTCAGATAGTAACAATATTTCAGTACATTCCTCTTTCCATATACATGTACATCTAACAGTCAGTTAAAAGCCTAGCTCAACTGCTTTAATAATAAACAATATGATATCTATAAATATTGTTATTGATAATCTTAAACATACTTTGCAGAAAATAGCAGCATGTGCAGTTTCCTCTACAGACATCGTCAGAAACACATACCGTCACTGCGGCAGACGAGCAGAGGTAAACCTGGATCACAACTGGACCACAACCTCGGATGGTCATTATAAGTTGTTCACTGGTCTCCAGGGGGACATGGGCTGATGTACCCTCGATGTTTGTTTATGTTCCCTGATCCCGAGCACATTCATGGGGAAACAGTGTGGGGTTAGTAAGGAACTCAACCGTGACCAGTGTTGTAAAAAGGTGTGAAACAACTGGGACGTATGACAAATGGGAAGGACATGTTTCAAGTGTATATAATAGGTCATTAATATTCAATTTAAAGCTATACTTTCTAACAGTGTTAATGCAGCTATTTCAGTGACAGTACCTTTATGAAATCCAAATTGATACTTCTGCTATTCTTTCTAAGATGACTTCATTGAAATAATTTGCTGAAAATACGTGTTAAAGTTATTTCCCCGGTAATTTGAAGTATCGCATGTGCTTTTACCTCCACTTTTGTGAATGGGGAGTATGGTACCGGCATTAAAACCACAAGGTAGATATTCATAATGAACAATGGCATTGTAAAATGCTACTAGGTGATTAATAAGTGTTCATTAACAATACCATCAGGTCCAGGTGACTTGCAGTTCTTAAGTCGCCGAATAGTGCATAATAGTTCATCAAATGTAAGAGGACATTGAAGCAGTGTAGAAGTATCATCACACACATCATGAGTATTCTCAAGTTGAGATTAACATAGTCAGTAAAATCGGATTAACATCTGCACATGGTAGAGAGAGGTCTCTGAAATATTTAGATACTTTTTGAGTATCACAAGATGTGTTTAGGTAAGTGAGAACCTGAGTTAATTGAATAGATGTGAGAACAAAATCAATGTTTCCGAAACGTCTCCAACATGTACCATCATCTGCAGATTGTGATGCATCAATGTTTAATGGAAGTTCAGGTAAAGGTTGCATTGAAGATTCTGAGATTATAGGAATAATTTCATTCTCCGAATTTGTTATTTCGTTTTTAAATATTGTTGATAACATGTCATATTTGTTAACATCCTCAAACTGATCTCTTCAAGGGAAACGGGGATCTGTTGCGGTTCCCACTAATCCGTTTTACTTTGGTCCAACTTGAGGAAAGAGCAGTATGCCTGTTGATTGTAGATAAGTACGATCGCCAACTGCTGCGTTTTAATGATCCTGCACGACGTTAGAATTCACCCATAGTGGAAATAGGGGAATAGAATAGAATTCACCCATACTGTTAAGTTCGAGTAGTTGGTTTCCGGATGTTTAACCGATAGCATTTTCTGAAATTTGGGTCAGAGAACCATTTGAACTCTTAATGTCATCTGTTAGCAAATCACATGTTATTTAATTTAAACAAAGTTCTACAAATTTATGCTTGGAACAAAACTGTAGCGCCGGATCAAGATGATCTGATCTGATCGATAATCAAGATCTATACTGAAATAAAACGGGTCTTACCTCGTGAGGTGCAACTTACTTGAATACCTTGACTACAATCCTGACGTTTGGAAAATATGTCGACGCCGAACTGACGGTAAACGTGCTTTGTAAATCCTGCAACAGACCGAAATCAGCAGC